CAGGAAACTTGATACAGTGAAACCTCTATTAAGCGGACACCTTCGCGACCTTCCCATATGTCCGCTTAATAGAGGGTGTTCGCTCAATAAATAAAGGTTTGTAAAAATTGCGCAATGTTAGTTAACGATTAACATTCAACGGTTACTCCGGCCGTACTGTGATAAAGTTCCATCAGAGGCACCCAACGACAATTTTCGGAAAAAATATCTGTTCTGAAGACGATTTGAGATCTAGAATTTTCGGAACATTTGTTGTAAAATTTCTTGCTTACCTGCTTCTCCTAGGACTTTCGAACATCTAAAATATGGTATAATTCCTTATTTTTAACGAATTTTTACCCTAAAAAGGTCACCTAGAATTTTCGGGAGCCTTTTTTCTGGCTGAAATTTTCGAAAAGGTAAGTTTTGATCCCTATAATTTTCGGATCACTAGACTTTCAGCTAGGAAATCCGAACAGATGAAAAATTTTTACGGGATAAAAATATGCCTATATCTACCGTTTAAATACCAAAATATGTTTAACAATGCTACGTTTTAGCGGTTTTGAACTAAATTCTCGTTTGGTGCCCCTGTTCCATGTTGTTGAGGAAGCTAAGGAAGCTAAGGAAGCTGTGCTGTACTTTGTGCAAGACTTTTAGGTGAAATTTTGACAGCTAAATAATGTATTGATTTATCTTTATTAATCGACTACAGTACGTATTTCAAGGACGAAATTCATTACAACACTATTGTCAGTTCAGCCGGTGTCCGCTTAATAGAGGTTTTTAACAATGAAAATTAGTGACTTAATAACAATAATAATATATTATTGGGCTTAATAGAGACTTTTGTTCCTGGGTCATCGTTAAGTTTGATCAAAAACAAAGCTCAGGTTAAACAGCGGTGATAAGTATTGTGAGCTTTCGGATTTTTTTTTAAGTTGACGTTTCGTATGCCATTCAAGATACATTTTCAAAAGTGATCTAAATACATTTTCGAAGGTATTTTTCAAAATATGTTTTCTAAATACATTTCAAAAGTGATGATTGGGCTTCTTTTCCTGACCTCGTTTCAGCAAGCAGTCAAGTGTGAACGTCTACTAGAACTAAGTACGTAGTACTTTTAGTAAAAGAGAACCATCTCAGCCCAAATATCACAGCCGATGTCGTTCATTTTATTTAGCTACAATACTCGTCACAAATCTTGAAACACTTGTGTGATTTTCCCCTTCCCCAATGTTGATTTGGGTATTACAGTCGTCTCACTGCTTCAAAATACGCCTGGCTCAACATTGCGGAAGGAGAGGGGCAAGTGTAAGTGAGAACGAAGGTGTCAGGAGTGAATGTAAGAAATTTGGAGAAAATTCAAGACAAATGGCTCCTGTTTCAACGATTTGTGACGAGTATTGTAGGTTGTTTCGTAAAAGGTTTCAACTTCGGCTGGTGTGAACTTGTAAGTTCCTGCCAGGAAAGTTCGTGCGAAGGTGCTGTACACGATGTACCCGCTCGGTGGGCTGTAGGTATGGCCAAGGTTGCTATAATTATTGCTATTGGATGATGCGTCGCTTCTTATGTTAATGTCGTGACCTCCTCCGAATGTAGGCCCATATGATGAGTAACTATTTATGGAATATAACTTTCTATAACTATTCTGCCCTGTCTGAGACAGTTTAACAGGCGCCCATCCTGGTTTGTTCACCAGTGAAAATAAAAAGGCCTTGGAGTCGTATTGATGGCTGCCAGCTGATGATGCTAGAAGAGAGAAAGTAAAAAGATATTGAAAATAAGTTAGTAATACTGTCCTAGTTCCTATGATAATGTCATTAATAATATAATAATAGTAGCATAATAATAATAATAATAATAATAATAATAATAATTACTAGCTTTTCTTTTAATGAGGCAAATTCGAGTTGCTTGGTTTACATAAGTATTGCACATCATGTTTTATCAAGAGCTAAATCAATTCAATCTTTTCTGGTTTCTTTTTCATGAATTTCTTTATCATTTCTAGTATTGCTGTAATTATAATAGAATCTACCGTAAGCGGTCACTCTTTGAACCAGTCAGTTTTTCAGCCGAAGAGAGATTTACACTAACGGGAGATTGAGATCCGTGTTTTTATGTTTCTGCAGGGATCAAGACTAAGGCCCGGTTTTCACAAGCGACATTGGCGCAAGCAGACGTATAAGCATGAGCATAACGAAACGCTTATGCACTACCGTAAGAAGCATAAGTATAAGAAAAACTCAAGGTTTTGATATTTTTGTATTTATGCTTTTCATTTAGTTAAAGATATCTTCGCTAGGTCCTTATGCTCAATCTAGCTTGTGCTTGTATATACCGTATTTCCTCGAATAATAGCAGCCCAACGATTAATCGCCTCCCACACACACACCGTTTCCGCCATCTTCTCTTTCTTTTATCACGTGCCCTCCAAGTTGAAGTGGAGTTTGATGCGGTAAAACGTATCAGAGTGACGATTGAAGCTCTTACGCCGAGGATATTGACATTGAAAAGTAATCAAGGAGGCATAATTAAAGCACTAAAAATGCCCTGGTTTACTTGATCTCTTGTTGATTTAATGGGAATCAATATAACACAAAATATTTGGGGCACGACTTTCCGACAGTGAGCAGTGATTGAAATAATCGCCCCCTTTTTGACGAAAATAATTAGTAATCGACCCCGGCTATTATTCAATGAAATACTAAGGAAGACGCTGGGGAGAACCAGGCTTAAGGGACTGTCCGCTTATCGGAGCTGAGGTGAGGTGTCTGCGGACAAGAAGTGTCAATTAGCAGAGATTTGCAATTATCATAAATTGCAGTTAATGAGAAAAAAAGAACAAGAATTAGATTGTTTTGTGTGACTTAACTAAATCAAATCTTTAAACTTACGTTTTGTTTTTCTCACCATCTCCCAAAGCTTTCTTTTATGTGGTGCCATTAGTCATATTACTCTTACGACAGTAATGTATACTTTGTTCTATTATTATTTATCACAATAACAACAACAATTATTATTATTATTATTATTATTATTATTATTATTTTTAAGCACTATTCACAATTCATTTCGATCAAAAAAACACTTTGTTTTGATTAAAAAATTCATTTCGATAAAAAAATTCATTTCAATTAAAAACATTTCAATTATAAAATCAAAGAAACTAATTTCAAGCGCAAACATATTCGAACAGTACAATATTTTTTTTTTCAATTTTTTAAACCAAAAAAACATACTTTATTAAACTCTTCTCAAAATGAAAATTAAATACAAATTTAGTATAACTATAGCTAAAAAAGACTTCTTGGTGGTCTGCATGGTGGTTTTCAACAGAGCAAATGTAAACAACTGTTATTATTAATATCATTATTATTATTATTATTATTATTATTATTATTATTTTCATTATTACTATGGGGTCCGTTTTTGCAAGCTAGAAATTCATCACTTTCCTGATCGAGATCTTGAGGTGGGGCGAGGGGGGAGAGGGATTGTGGCTCATTCAGACTAGTTATAATAACAATATAATATTATAATAATCATATACATATACATAGCGCCTTTCTCTTAGTGATTCAAAGCGATTTACAATCAGTAAATACTTCAAAAACAAATAATTCAGACACAACATAACAGGATTTAAAACCCCAACTGACAGGAGGCAACCAGTGGGCTATTTTACAAGCGTGGCCGTTGATTTGAACTCGGGACGACCGAGAACAAATCCAGCAAGTGGCCAGAGGGAGACTCGAACCCGGAACTGCCGGATTGCGAGTCCTACGCACTGACCACTCGGCCATGCTGCCTCACACCTTATTAAGTCTACTGAGATAGGGCGATCCTTGGTCCTTGAAGGGCCAGGGATGTGTACCCGCATCTAGATTCGCCAACCCTATAAACCTTTATCCGCGGCCATCTTAGTACTAAGCTGCACTTTTAACTGAACATATGCTTAAATAACGGCACAATCGTCTGGTTTACAATGTTCACTTACCCCATGAAATACTAGTGTATCCTCCAAAAATGTATCTCCCAACCCTTATTATTGTCACAGTCGGGCCCTTGCCATCACATCGGGAGTGAAATGTACTTGCAGCCCAGCCGTCCACGGATGCACCCCAACAGCGCTTCCAGAAAGAATTCACGCTTTTTGTCACAGATTTAAGCCAGTTGCTTAAGGAGGTCAAGTGGTTTCTGTTGTTTCCCACAATGACGGAGTTTTCAAAAGCTAAGTCAAAAAAACTTTCTTTAACATGTCAAACAAAATATTATTTGGCCAAGTAAAAAGTTTTAAAATTTGACATCAACTGGATTATTGTGCAGGGCTGAATTAGCAAATTGAGTAACATTGCAAGTGACTAAAGAAAGAGTGCCGATTCATGTATTTGATTTGCTAATAAGGAATTTTAAGTATGAAACTCCAGTTAACATAGAAACAAATGGCTCGACTCGCTTAAGCGCACCAATGTTTCAGGGGGCTTTTTTGAAATGTCATGTTGGTGGGCCTTCCAAGAGAGATTATCGTCCGTAAGCCCAATAAATTTGCTACGAGTTGTTTCGTTTAGTTGGACGCCATCCTTATAAATTTTTATCGTGTAGTCATTTAAAGATTGTAGTTTCTGCCCCGAGCTAATAATCATAGGCTCTGTTTTGGCGACATTGAGACTTAAATTGTTAGCTTTAAGCCAGAGATCAATATGCTTCAATTCAGTATTGATCTGTAATTCGAGATCAGGTATGCTAGGTGCAGAAAATGTAGAACCAGCATTCAGACAGTTTGGAGGATCATTATGTAGATAAAAAAGTGAAGGGGGCCTATTATTAACTCTTAAGGTACAGTGAAGAGGACTCTAACTAGACAGACAGTTACTTATGATACACCTTTGCAATGCATCTTAGATGTTTAACAAAGGTCGCAATGGTTTATGGATTAGACGACTGACATTAAACTGAATGTTTAATCTATTCATACCTTGTTCAATCAAGGGGATTGCTTTGGGCATTGGGCAATTACGCTCTCGGGAAGCTATACTATTATTTGGCGGTCATTTAAGCAAGTCATTGCAGTGAGTTTCGTATGCCCAAAAGCTCAGGGCCAATTGGGCCAATGACCAACTCTCAAAGCAACCTTTGACTGAATTAGATATATGCGGTGCCTGCAATACAAACCTAAGCGACGCACTTGCACTGCCACGTTGATTCTTGTCTTCTTTGTTCCCATAATATTAGTAGCCACGCATTCATAAAAACCGCTGTCATCAGGACTCAAGTTGTTAATGGTAAATGTGCTTTGGTTTATACTGGTCCTTCCAGCATGAAAGGCATTGCTGCTCTAGTCCAGTTTATTTCGGGGTGAGGATATCATTCAGCTTGACAGGTTACTTGAAACGTCGAACCTTGTACTGGTGTGGCAATTGAGGGTGGAACTTTTGTGAAGATTGGAAGACCTGAAATAGAGCCGAAAATAAACAGGATGCACAATAATTAAAATTAAACAGCTTATATTCCTTTCTTTTCTGAGAACCCTTTCAAGCTCCGTGCTAAAAAGTGTTACTGACAAACATTGTTAAAGCCGAAAAGGGAGAAAAAGAAACGTATTATATTAATTCATAAAGATAGGTGAGAGATCGGTAAGAGTTGTGTAGGATATTGAAAGTCAAGACTAATTAAAGCAAACGCCTTGAAGCAAACTCAGAATTCATCATATAGAAAGGTCATGCATTGAGGTAGTTTAATTAACGTTCAAGAAAAAAAACAAATTGGAAGGAATGGGACAGGGGCACCCAACGATGGTTTCCTCCAAAATGCACAGAAAAGTCTTATTAGGCTATCCAGGACTTTTAGATCTCTAGAAATGCATTCAAAATTGCGCTATAAAATTTGTGTCTGTTCGGTCATCCTAGGGGAACTAATGGCTTTTCGAAATTACCAGGGCTAATTCAACGTTTATTTTCCCGAAATTTTCAGGATGCAATTGCACTTTTTACGAAGTGAGAGTTTTTCTTATTTCTCTCTCCATTACATTTTTGAATCCGAAAAGTTTAAGTTTCCTTTTTCTACGAAAGTTAGCCTAACATATATAAGGAGTAAAATATGAAAAAAAATAAAAATTAGAAAATCTTAGGGAATTTTTTAGATAGGCTTCGAAAATTGTACCTCAATGGGACGCTCATCTAGAATTTTTTAGCCGTATTCAAACAACAGAAAATTCTAGGCATTACTAGCTTCTCCGAACAGATATTTTACAGAAAACAGTCGTTGGGTGCCCCTGATGGAAGAATCGTGTTGTGTGCCTTCGGGTACATGGTGAAGATTGTCATCTGTTATTATCTTGAAATATTGATGAATTAAAATGAAGGAAGAGATAAAAATACACGATTAAACAAAAGAGCATAAACAGACCTACATAATCAAGCAGCCAGATATAACAAAAATACAGTGTTCCGCTTACCTCTAACAGTGAAGTTGCTTGTGGCCTCGGAAGATCCATAAGAATGTTTCTGGCAGCACATGTGTACGGTCCAGCATCGCTGTAATTGAGATTTCTAACGATCAACTCTCCTTCTATAATCAAATACTTAGCACCTGACAGAAGTTTTGTGCCCTTAAATTGCCATTCCACGACTGGGAAGGATTTCCTGCGACCGTGCAATAAAATGTCATATTTCCTCCCTCATCTCGTGTCTGCTCTGCCGGCGACAACATCACTTGTGGAGCAGATATCGATTTCCCAGGCCTTCCAGGTGGTCCCGGCATGCCTTTTGGCGCAGGCTCTCCTTTATTTCCCCTTTCTCCTCTCGGTCCTGCGGGACCAGTTAGTCCTGTTTTTCCGGATTTTCCAGGTGGTCCCATGGGACCTTGAGGACCTTTCTTTCCCTTTGGTCCCCTCCTACCACGTGGTCCCCTCGCTCCAGTGGGACCAGGATATCCGGGGGGACCTGCAGGACAGACTTTCTCACTTGACTTACAGTACTTGGTGGGCATAATTTGTTCAAACTGTTCGCTGATTTGTTTTCGTGTATGGTGATGCCGGTTGATGTGTCGTTCAAAACGTTTCTTCGCTTTCTTTACCGGATGGTTGCTGATGCCTCTATTGATAAAGGGCTGACTGCAGTAAAGTAAGATTTAGATTTGTTTTAATATCCAATGATTAATACTGAAAATGTATAAGGGCGAGACAACGAACGAATCAACGGAATGAATGATAAGGTTGACATTTCTAACAAGTTAGTCGTTTTTGAGGTTGCGTTCAACAACAAGGTTAAAACATTGCAACCAACTTCTTAATTTGTCCTCACGCCTCTTCCATTGCTGCTTCCTAAGGGAAAGCCAGGTGACATTCTAGATTTCTAGATCTACGTACGAACACATTTCAAACCAACTGAGACCGTTTGAAACGCACTTTCAATCTTACCACCCTATCGAAGTTACCAAAGGTTCTATTAAGTACGGCGGCAAGACTCTTTAACCGAACTCCTCTAGAGGCATTTAAAAAATTATCTCAGACAAATTTTACGCCACCCTAACAATGTTATTCAGACAGTGCTATTTCAGACTAATTTTCCTCACTCGTTTTCAGACCAGACCACTAAAATTCATACCCGTTTTCAGACATGGCCTTTAGCCAGAAATTTTGCCATCATTACTTAGATTAGAGCTCAAACAAAAAAATTCTTTAAATGCATTTCGAATTCACATATTTCTATTTCGTTCTTATTCATTTGCAATTAAAACGACAATTACGTTCATGTATACGCTCCCGTAGTTTCCTCGAAAACCAAACCCAATTCCAGACCAAAATGGGCAAAGTTTATACCCGTTTTCAGACCAAAAAGGCCCAAAAACCATACTCTTTGTGGCAGCACACACCTATTAATGGCTTATATAACGGAGTGCGCCCCTGGGTATTGACCACATATCTTGTACGCGAGCAAGTCGTTCGACTCTTAAGCTATGAATTCAACATCATTTACACCGTAAATTTCTTTATTGTTTTACCAGTATAGGTGGCTTAGTGAATATCTAGGCAGTATTGCAAATTAAAAGAAGGAGAATATAACAAAAGGGTTATTCATACAGTGTTAGTTGAAATTAAAAATTCAATTGTTATGAAATATCCAAAGATTCCGTATCATAGCGAACTCACACCATGAAAGATTATATGCCTATAAAAATCAAAAGAGGATAAACTCAGTTCTAAACATCTACCTGCTTCTAAATAACATCTAAAGCGATGATTTTACCTGGAGTATAACCAATCCTTTTTGAAATGTTGGTCTGAACCTTCTTGTAATGATCTCTTGCTGTGCCTTTTGTCGGTAAAAGAGATATCCTGTCAGTATTTTCAGTCGAGACTCTCTGAACGCAGGGGAAAAGGTTGATGCGAGATTCCAGCGCTATCAGTCGTTCGTTTGTTTTATCATTCTTCACCCAGAGACATCCGCAAACGAAAACTAATACCACGGAAAGGAATGATGGTTTAAGTGACGGACCAAAATCAAGGAGTCGACGAGATTCTGAGGAGTTCAACGATTTCATTTTTGCAGCTGTTAACCATTGGTTTTAACCCATTCGCTCCTGGAGATTTTGCCGACAAACGCGTTTTGAAGCTAGTCGAGTGGTTTTCTGGTCACTGTCGTGCTATAAAGAGCTAAAACTTACCACAAACCGGTTTACAGATCGTACACTTCGTGGCCTTCTGATCCAGATGCAAAATATCAGCTTGCGAAGTTCGGGCATGCGCAGAATGCAAAATTTCGAGACGTTTAATTTTCGCTTTCTCCTCCCCTCTTTTTTCGCTTTTCTCGCCTCATTAGGATCTTAGGATTAGGTGAAAGGAAAGGTAGGTGAGCAATGGAACAAGATTTTCATGGAGATTTTCAGGTCAATGTCACATGGTTTTTTGCTTCTTTCTCCGGTGTCCTTGACTGAATTGTGCTCATTCTGGTATGGTTTAAAAGATCTCTTCACTCTGCACAAGTTAGCGAACAAAGTTGTCCTTGACCGTTAAAACTGATGACGTCACAAAGGGTAGAAAGGACGTGGATCCGCACGGGCGGTTACAGGCGATTCAGGGGCGAATGGGTTAATTAAAAAAAGGTTTTCACTTGTTGTCGTGGGAAGGGAGGGGAGGGAGGGGAGAGGGTGTTACTCCCTATATGAAATATAATGGCTGCTACAGGGAGGCTCCGGCTGAAAGTGACACCTTTCCAGCTCAGGCTTCAGCTATATCAAAGGGTAGGGAATTAACGAATAGAATTATATCAAAGGGTAGGAAAAGTTAATATTCAGGTATTTGAGAGGGGCTTAAATTAATATTTTCTGAAAAGACGCGCCTCATGATAATATCATTTTAATTTTAAATCATCTCTTTCCATGCTAAATACACAGGATTAATGGACTTATAGAGCACTGTCATATACCTGATAACAAATTTATCTTACTTTATATTCATAATATATTATTGGGCTTCTTTTCCTGACCTCGCTTCAGCAAGCAGCCAAGCGTGAAAGTTTTCTAGAACTAAGTACGAGAGTGAAGAATGATCATCGCAGTAAATTTTCCAATTTAACCAATTGGAAAGAAGAAGCCTGAAAAAAAAAATCAGGGCTTCTTCTTTCCAATTGCTTGAATTGGAAAATTTACTGCGATGATCATTCTTCACTCTCATCTACAACCGCAGTTCAAAAATGAATTATTTCATATACTTCACCGAACTAAGTACGTAGTACCGTTTTAGCAAAAAGACAACCATCTCAGCTCAAATATCAGAGCCGATGCAATTCATTTCATTTAGCTAGGTTGTTTCGTAAAAGGTTTCAACTTCGTCTGGTGTAAACTTGTAAGTTCCTGCCAGGAATGCTTGCTATAAGAATTAATAATAATATTAAAAATAAATTATTAGGCTATTTTACCTTAAGTAATATTTCCTAACCTCCGGTCGTTTAAGATAGCAGCCAAGTGTGAAATTTTACTGCAGAGCTTAAAGCGGTTACTGTTAAAAAGTAATACTTTTATTGAGAGAATAAAATATCAGGGCTGATGTCAGTCATACTATACTTAGGTTGTTTCGTAAAAGGTTTCAACTTCGTCTGGTGTGAACTTGTAAGTTCCTGCCAGGAATGTTCGTGCAAAGGTGCTGCCGTAGCTGTATCCGCTCGGTGGACTGTACTCATTGCCAAGGTCGCTATAAGAATTGTTATTGGATGATGCGTCGCTTTTTATGTTAATGTCGTGTCCTCCTCCGAATGTAGGCCCATATGATGAGTACCTGTAAATGGAATATGACTTTCTATAACTATACTTCCCTGTCTGAGACAGTTTAACAGGCGCCCATCCTGGTCTGTTCACCAGTGAAAACAAAAAGGCTTTGGAGTCGTACTGATACCCAGATGCTCCTAGAAGAGGCAAAGAAAAAAAGATATTGAAAATAAGTTAGTAACATTGTCCTAGTACCTATAATAATATCTTAATAAAAAGCTGCACACAAAACTTCAATCAGTAAATATTAATATTAAAAGCAAAACGTCAATATCAATACAAAATTCCGGCAAAACACCTTCGCAATTCAAAATTCCAAGAAATCACAAAGAGTTATAAAAAAACAATTAATCATAATCATAATCATAATCATAATAATAAATGACAATCACATGCACTGTAATGCAATACACGCGGTTTATCAAGAGCTAAATCAATTCTGCTCAATCTTTTCTTTCTTTTAATGAATTTCTTTATTATTTTTACCATTAATATAATTATAATAGAATCTACCGTAAGCGGTCACTTTTTGAACCAGTCAGTTCTGCAGCTTAGAAGAAATTTCCACTAAAGGGAGATTAAGATTCGTCTTTTTATGTGGCTACAGGGATCAAGAGCGACGCAAGCGCAAGCATACGTATCATCGTGAGCATAACTTAACATAAAAATAAGCATACACAGCACGAAATGATTAATAATTATATACTATCATAAGAAGCATAAGTATAAGAAAAATTAGAGGTTTTGATATTCTTGTATTTATGCTTTTGATTTGGTTTAAGCCGTCCTCACTTATGTTCATGCTATACTGATATACTTGCGTCTGCTAATCGGAGGTAAAGTGAGGTGTTTGACTACGAGAAGTGTCAGTTAGCAGAGATTTGCAGTTATGAAAGCAATTGATGAGAAAAAAAAAAAGAATTAGATTAGATTGTTTTGTGTGACTAAAGAAAGCACCACTTCCGAAAGCATTCTTTAATCTGCCGCATTGGTCATAATACTCTTACGAGAGTAATGAAGCCTTTGTTATTTTATTGTTTATTATACTAACAATTATTATTAATATCTTCATCATTATTATTATTGGGTCAGTTTTTTCAGAAGAGGGGACGGGGGGATTGGGGTTCATTCAGACCTTTTTAAGTCTACTGAGGTGGGGCGATCGTCGGCCATTGAAGGGTGAGAGATGCGGGACCGCATCTATATCCGCCAACCCTAAACCTATATTCGCCACTACTTAATGAAAGGATGGGTTAACTGAGTCTTTATAGGGCAGTAACAAGCTGCACTTTTAGCTGAACATAGGCTTAAATAACCGTACTGGTGGTCCATGCACCAAAATCTGCTGTTTTACAATGTTCACTTACCCCAAGATTTACTGGTGTATCCTCCAAAAATGTATCTCCCGACCCTTATTATTGTCACAGTCGGGCCCTTGCCGTCACATCGGGAGTGAAATGTACTTGCAGCCCAGCCGTCCACGGATGCACGCCAACAGCGTTTCCACAGAGAATTGACGCTTTTTGTCACAGGTTTAAGCCAGTCGCTTAAGGAGGTCAAGTGGTTTCTGTTGTTTCCCACAATGACGGAGTTTTCAAAAGCTAAGTAAAAAAACCTTCTTTAACATGTCAAACAAATTATTATTTGGCCAAGTAAAAAGTTTAAAAATTTGATATCAACTGGATTATAGATGGTTTTCACTGTGACGTCATCAAATTGTAAAGTCAAAATAGCGAGGTTTTACGAATTCTTATTTACACTAGGTTGAACATAAACAAAAGATAAATCTTTGTACAAGTTTCAAGTCCCGTATCATGTTTCATTTCGAAAATACAGCAATTTGAACTTCCGAGTTTTCACAGTGCGTGACACCAAAATAGGAATACTGTCTCGTTAAAGAAAAGTCTCTCCTCTTGATTTTCAGCAGTATAACCACTTCAAGTATTAGAAGATGTGTTTATGCGTACGTATGCTAGTTCTCGAGTGAAAAGAAAGAGCTTTTATAGGAAAAGTGAACTCCAGATGTTTTTGTTGATTTCCGGCGGCCATATTGGTGCGCCAAAACGGTGCACCAATATGGCGTCTCCATACAATTTAGCTCTACAAAGGTACGTGAAACGTTTCGGCAAATAACTCAGAAACTGTGGGCCACAAAGACATGAGATTTGGACCAATTGTTTATATAATAATAGTCTTTTATAACACTTCATTTTCTTGGCTTCTTCCACTGGACGGTTTCCAATTTAATTTTTTGTTGCGTGGCAGTGAAAACGATCTATTGTCATTTGCAGGGCTAAATTAGCAAAAAGAGTAACGTTGCAAGTGACTAAAGAAATTGAGTGCCGATTCATGTATTTGATTTGCTAATAAGAAATTTTAAGCATGAAACTCCAGTTAACACACAAGTCTTCAAATGCAAATTTATGTCGTCAGCACCTCATGCACAATGACTATATAGCTTTCATTGCTTTTTTTTGTGATGTTAAATGTTTAAAAAAAAAGCCAGTCATGGATGGGATTCGAACTAATCACCGTGCGATACAGCGGTATAGTTCTTACGTATATAGGCTTTCGAAAAAGTGTCCATCGTCCTTTGATGAGTAAAGAATAAGATGATGATGGTGGTGATCGTGATGATGATGATGATGATGATTAATTATTTATACATGGTTAAAATATTCGTATAATAATAGAATATGAATAAATTCTATAACTGTTTTACATAATTGCCGTATGGGAGCATGATCAGCAAACCGAGAGTGAATTTTCCCTCAAAGTCATCTGATCTAGAGAATTTGCTGTGCGTACGTACATGCTCGGGAAGATTGTTCCATAAGTAAGCACCACGGTAACACAAGCCACCTCAGACCGCTTTACAGTAATCAAAGCATGGTTCAATAAGACCTTAGCATATCATAACTTCAGTGTGCATAGAAACAAATGGCTCGACTTGCTTAAGCGCACCAATGTTTTAGGTGGCTTTTTTTGAAATGTCATGTTGGCGGGCCTTCCAAGAGAGATTATCGTCCGTAAGTCCAATAGATTTGCTATGAGTTGTTTGGTTTTACTTGGACGCCATCTTCATGTAGTCATTTAAAGATTGTAGATTGTAGTTTCTGCCCCGAGCTAATAATCATGGACTCTGTTTTGGCGACATTGAGACTTAATTTGTTAGCTTTTACCAAGACATCATTATGTTTCATTTAAGCATTGATCTGTAATTCGAGATCAGGTATGCTGCATGGGAGCAGAAAAGGTAACGTTAGTGTCGTCCGCGTACATTCAAGGAGAACCATTATTCAAACAGTTTGGAAGATCATTAGGTAATTCAAAAAGAGAAGGGGGCCTATTGTTGACTCTTAAGGGACAGTTAAGAGGACTCTAACTAGATAGACAGTTACCTATAATACATCTTTGTAATGCATCTTAGATGTGTAACAAAGGTCGCAATGGTTTATGGATTAGACGACTGGCATTAAACTGAATGTACAATCTATTCATACCTTGTTCAATCAAGGGGACTGCTTTGGGCATTGGGCAATTACGCTCTCGGGAACCTATACTATTATTTGGCGGTCACTTAAGCAAGTCATTGCAGTGAGTTTCGTATGCCCAAATGCTCAGGGCCAATTGCGCCAATGACTAGCTCTCAAAGCAACCTTTGACTGAATTAGATATATGCGGTGCCTGCAATACAAACCTATTAAGCGACGCACTTGCACTGCCACGTTGAATCTTGTTTTCTTTGTTCCCATAATATTAGTAGCCACGCATTCATAAAAACCGCTGTCATCAGGACTCAAGTTGTTAATGGTAAATGTGCCTTGGCTTATACTTGTCCTTCCAGCATGTAAAGGCATTGCTGCTCTAGTCCAGTTTATTTCGGGGCGAGGATATCCCTCAGCTTGACAAGTTACTTGAAAAGTAGAACCTTGTACTGGTGTGGCAATTGAGGGTGGAACTTTTGTGAAGATTGGAAGACCTGGAATAGAGCCGAAAAATAAACAGGATGCACAATAAATTAAACAGCTTATATTCCTTTCTTTTCTGGGAACCCTTTCAAGCTCCATGCTCTTAAATCCACATTTCGCTAAAAGCGTTACTGATAAACTTTGTTATAAGCAATGTTTAACTACATAGCCGAAAAGGGAGCAAAAGAAACGTATTAATTCAAAAAGATAGGTGAGGTCTGTACCAGTTGCGTAGGATATTGAAGGTCAAGAATAATTAAAGTAAATAACTTGAACCAAACTCAGAATTCATCATGTAGGAAGGTCATGCATTGAGGTAGTTTAATTAACGATCAAGAAAAAGACAAATTTGAATGAAGAAATGGAACAGTGATGGAAGGATCGTGTTGTGTGCCTTCGCGTACAGCTGTACATGGTGAAGATTGTCATCTGTTACCTTAAAATATCTTTACGTTTGCATTGCTCAGGTTAAACGTTGAACTTCAAACGTGACTAGTGGCTACGAAATACGAAAAATGGATGAATTGAAAAGAAGGAGGAGATAAAAGTACACGATTAAACAACAGAGCACAAACAGACCTACATAATCAAGCAGCCAGATATAACAAAAGTACAGTGTTACGCTTACCTCTAACAGTCAAGTTACTAATGGCCTCGGACGATCCAAGAATATTCCTGGCTGCACATGTGTACGGTCCAGCATCGCTGTAATTCAAATTTCTAACGATCAACTCTTCTTCGCTTCTTCTTTAATCAAATACTTTGCACCTGACAGAAGCTTTCTGCCCTTAAGTTGCCATTCCACGACTGGGGAAGGACTTGCTGCGACCGTGCAATAAAATGCCGTGTCTTCTCCCTCATCTCGTGTCTGCTCTGCTGGCGACAACATCACTTGTGGGGCAGATATCGATTTTCCAGGCTTTCCAGGTGGTCCCGAAACACCTTTTGGCCCAGGATCTCCTCTATCTCCCTTTTCTCCTCTCGGTCCTGCAGGACCAGTTATTCCTGTTTTTCCGGATTTTCCAGGAGGTCCCATGGGACCTTGAGGACCTTTCTTTCCCTTTGGTCCCCTCCTGCCACGTGGTCCCCTCGCTCCAATGGGACCAGGATATCCGGGGGGACCTGCAGGACAGACCTTCTCACTTGACTTACAGTACTTGGTGGGCATAAGTTGTTCAAACTGTTTCCTGATTCCTTTTCTCACTTCATGTATGGTGATGCCAATTGAAGTGTCGTTCGAAACGTTTCTTCGCTTTCTAACCCGGATGGTTGCTGATGCCTTTATTGGCAACGGGCTGACTGCAGTAAAGTAAAATTAGATAATACCTGATATTACCCATTAATAAATTGTAAAAATGAGCAAGATTGAGAAGGAACGAAAGAACGATACGGCTGACATTTCTGATAAAGGTAACTTACAAAAGAACTAGAATCGAAAGAGCTGCGCACGAATTTCAAGCCAACTGAGATCTTGTATACACCTACTTTCAATCTTGTAATCCCATAAGGGTTAAGAAAGGTTTTTCAAATTAGACTGAACTCCTTTGAAAGAAACGGAAATATCTCCCTGAATGAATAATAATCTTAATACACGCCATTTGTCTATACTAATCTATAGTGTCTATACTATTGGAAAATTTACAATCAATCTAAAGCAAACAGATAAATCTAAAAATGAATCGCCAGGAATTGGGTTATTATTGCTTGAAATTGGTCACGTAATACCTTTCAATTCCGAGACCCCAAATAACCTCAAACCAGAAGCACATGCAGCCCTCACTTAAAGAAATGTTTAAGGAATCTCATCTAATGTCGTCTAGCTAAAAATCCTAAAAAGACAATCTTGTTGAAAAGCTGTATAGTAATGATATCGACTATCTGGCGCGTGAAGGAATCTTGCTCTGCCCTTGTAGGTCGACACATTATTTATAAATTCAACTTCATTTACGCTGTAGATCTCTTCGGTTTTTTATCAGTGGCAGTGGCATAATTACTGACATCTAGGGAGCATTACAAAACAGTTTCATACAGTCGAAGTTAAAATCTGATACTATTTTGGAATTGCAAAAGATCCCGTGTTGTTAACGCGAACTCACGTCATGAAAGGTTATGTCTTAACCGAGGGAGGATAAAAGTAGGTCTAAACATCCTTAAAGTACATAAGGCCATCTAAGTAAGAAGAGTAAGAATAAATTTTACCTGAGGTATAGCCGTTCCCATCATCTGAAACTTGTGTCTGCATCTTCTTGGAAAGGTCTATTGCGATATCTTTTGTCGGTGAGAAAGTCATCCTGTCAAGATTATCAATCGTGCCACGCTTAGTGCAAGGAACACAGTAAATACGAGATTCCAGAGAAATCAGTCGTTCGTTTGTTGCTTCATTTTTCACCCAGAGACATCCGCAAACTAAAACTAATACCACCGACAGGAACGATGGTCTAATTGACGAACAAACTCAAGGACTCGTTGAGATTTTGAAGAGTTTACGGTTTTCATTTTTGTAGTTTTACGATCGTTTTCTTTCACAGCCACTCGAAGACGGAAGTTTGAGGGAAAGTTGCAAGTTATATAAACCTGATCCGCTTCTGATTTAGCCCAGAAAAACAAGAGTGTTGGCTTACATTAGATTGACGTAAGCTGTAACTTTTTTTCTTGTTGCACTCAAACGTGGTCAAAGTTCTAACAGTTTCCTTATTCTAAAAAACTTGCAGAAATCAAACATCACGTTTACAGGAAAGGTAAGAGGTTGACCACGTGACCATTGGCTTTATTCTTCATTCTTAATAACGTGGAGAGGATAAAGTTTCTCTTTTTGTAACAAACATTCGTCATGAGTAATTTATTTAATTCAATTCTTGTTTTCTGTCACAGTCACTCCAAGTTTGAGGGAAAGTTGCAAGTTAAACCCGATCCGTTCTCCTTAAGCCCATAAAAACAAGTGTAGTAAATTAGCTTACATTAGATTGACGTAAGCCGCGCTGCTCTGTCGGTTGTTAACCTTCCTCCTGTTGCGCTCAAACGTGGTCAAAGTTCCAACAGATACCATATCTTAAATTATTGCTGCAATCAAACATCACGTTTACAGGAAAGAAAAATAGTTTGACCACGTGACCATTAACCCTCATTATTGATAACGTTGAGAGAATGAAGCTCTCTTTTCAGGACAAACATGATTCTAGTTCTTGTCTGTACATTAACAATTAATACTAGCCCGTAAACGTGATGTTTTATCTATTTATTATCAGTAGAAATTTCCTGTAAGGGTATATTTTATTAGCTGCGTTCTGATTGGTTAAGCTACTACTAGGCTATATGTTATAGCCCACTAGTAGCGAAAGCACCGGCTTTTTGGCGGCAAAAAAGGATTAAAGTCTAGCTAAAGTTGATTTGTCTCGATATTTTTTTTACCAACAAGTTGGATTTTACTTAAACAATTATTCCTCTCGCCCTCGTGGCCTCTGAGTCAATAGCCAATTCGGCCTTCGGCTTCATGGGCTATTGACTCAGAGCCCATTTGGGCTCAAGGAATAATTGTTAAATATTTTATATAATAGCTCAGTCATAAAGGATACTGATGTGCCTTAGATTTTATACGTAGGGCTTACATGAGGTAGCAACCCAAAGCTGGTAAATTTAATTACTACACTGCTAGAAGGCGATCGAGATTGTAACGTGACTGCAAGCACCTGGGCTTTTGGCATCCTATTCGTAAAACACTAGTAGATGCCCTAAATTACTCTCATCAGCATGGTGAGTTATCTAGTTCACAAAACAAACATTGATTACACTGTTAGAAAAGAAGGAAAAAGAAAGAAGATTTCTTAAAAATTAGAGACTAATTTCATTGGTTAATGTGGATGTGAAAATCGCGTCCAAGGCTATCGCAAGACGATTAGGAGCAGTAATGCCATTACTTATTCCCGCCAATCAAAACGGTTTCATAAAAGGAAGGTCAATTTTAGACGCGGTACGCACTATCGATGACGTTCTTGAGATCGGCAAAATAATGATGCAGAACGAATCCGGCATTCTACTCGCAATTGATTTTGGAAAGGCTTTCGATTCGCTGAACCACGAATTTTTATATCAGGTTTTACAGAAAATGGGTTTTCGACCGAATTTTCTTTAATGGACTAGGACTTTCTGTAGGAACTTGTCAACCTGTGTACCAAATAATGGCTTTACAACTGATATCTTTTTTGTTAAACGTGGGGTAAGACAGGGTGATCCTCTCTCTGCTTTATTGTTCATTCTTGCGTTGGAAACGCTTTTATGTCAAATTCAAGAAAAAAAAATAATAAAAGCCTTTTTAATTAATGGGAAAGAAATCAAAACGACCCTTTTTGCCGACGATATGACCTGCTTCTTGAGAGATACCAATTCATACTTTCAACTTCTGACATCTTTACAAAATTTAGCCAGCTACTCAGGCCACCGTGTAAATGATGAAAAACAGAGAATTTTGCTATTGGTCTGCACAGTCTTGTTCAAGATGTTCTTACTCACAAATCACGTAGTATGATCGAAATATTGGGAGTTTATTTTAATTTTGATACCCCAGCTAGATTGAAGGCCAACTGTGAATCCATCTTTAAATCAATCCAGGGAACTTTAAATTGCTGGAAAGGTAGGGGCCTTACCCTGATAGGAAAAATTCAGATTGTTAAGTCTTTTATTATCCCGAGATTTCTTAGCAAAGCAGCGTTGATCTCAGTACCTGAAGACCATGTTAAAGAAATCAACAAGTTGATTTATCACTTTATTTGGAGCGGAAATGATAAAATCAAACGATCTTTGCTAATACCTTTAAATGAAGAAAACGTGTTGAACAAAGAGCTCATCACACTCGTCCTGAATTGAGAAACAAGGTCCACCTTAAAATTGATAACGCTGATGTCGATCTGTCTTCGGTCCCGCCAAAATCTCTTGCTCAAAAGAAGTTTCAGGATCAATTTCCTCATGTTCAATTTGATTGGAACGAAATATATTCGCTCTCCCTTAAAGTGTCGCCAGAAACAAAAATTAGAGAATGAATATAAGGTTTTGAACAACATTGTTTCCACGAATGAAAAGTTCTTTAAAATTAAGATGATTGATTCGCCACAATGTACCTTTTGTAAAAACGAGATTGAATTCCTTGAGCATGTGTTTTACAATTGCGAAATAACAAGATCCTTTTCGGTAGCGCTCAGTTCTTGGCTTATTGAATGTAATATCAATTTTGAACTTTTGTCGTTTTTTTAACGTCTTATTTGGCATATTCAACGCAGGAGAAGATTTTGTCATTGTAAACCATCTTATTCTAGTGGCAAAGTTTTACATTTATCGCTGTAAATTTTTCTGTTGTCGAGTATAGCTATTGATTTTTTTTTTTTTCAGGATAAAGTGTAATGTAGCTTCTTTTTATGTAAAGTTGTAACGCCAGTATCAAATTGTAATGTTTATGTTATGTTGTGAAGCCATTAATAAAAACATTTCTTGCTTTAACAAAATAATAATAGCGGGGCTCCCACGCACGCGAAGCGCGCGTGGGACAGAGCCCCATACCCATAGATTATGGTCAACCTCTTTTCTTTTGGTTGTCACGTGACTGACCGAGCGTACGTGCGTACGTACGTACGTACGCGTCTACAGATTGTACGGGTGGGGTAGGGGAGACTATCAAAAGGAAGGGAGGGGTGTCTCAGGCGTGTCTTGCCAAGTCCACATCTTTTACATTGGACATTCACAATATGGTCAATTGACAGCTGTCAAAACAGGATAGCCACTGACCAGTATCTCATGACCATATCGCGGGCTCATGTGTCAACTCATTGAGGTGACGTGGTTTGTTTGGAAGCTGTCCGCTGACCAGTTAATTATTTTACTAGATCGCGATTAATGTTCAGTCTCATACTTTCTAGCTAGTTTGGGATCGCAGCACAGGAAAACTGATACACGTCAATGTTGTGATCCATTGACAGCTGTCAAAACAAGGTATCCGCTGACCAGCATCACTTGACTGTATCGTGGGCTTAGGTGTCGACCCTTTGAGGTCAAGTGTTTTTTTGAAGTTATCCGCTGACAAGGTACTGGTTTTCAAATGATCGCAGGCTCAAGTGTAATTTTTTTAAAAATTCACATGAAATATGTTGTGTCTATGTGCCGCACAATTAAAATGTTGATTTGACTGACCTCCGACGCGAAAATTCAGCCAGCTGCTACAGGCAGGAAAGACTGTTGCTTTTGACTTTTCTCGCCATGTTCACGCGTTGGTCACGCTCTACGTCCAATTTTTATGGTCTGATTGGTCAAAATTTGACAGGTGAGTTCATGCGGAAAATTTATGCAGCATCTTGAATCTTGTTTACTTTGACAGCTGAAGCTGACAGAGTTTTGTGTCAACTTTTGATGTTTTTAACTTTCTTTTTCCACTGGATGTACAAAATGAAATTCAGCTGCTATCAGGAGTCTTCTGTTATTCATGGTATTCATGGCTAGTTTGTTTATTGGGTTTTTGATTGAGTCAAAGTCGGAAATCCGATTTCGGATGGCATCGTTTTCGTTTTCATCTCGCTTAATGCGTAAGACGGTTGCAAAGTCTGAAGCGATACTGGCCTTACTTGATACCTTTCAGGAGCTGCATCTCGAGTGGTAAGCCTAAGTAATAATTGTATTTGATGTTTAATTTTCATTCTTAATTTAATGAAGTCGAGCGTAGTTTATGCGGCTATTTTGTTTACGCACGTTTGTAAGATTTGAGACAATGATCTGACCGAGTATCAGGTTTGTTATAAGCTTACAGATCTTTAAAAAGCCTTTAGACATTTTCTCACGGCAAATACTAGGAAAGAAAACGTTTTAAGGAATATTTAGTTATAATTCTGGCTGTAAAAGAAAGGTTTGAGCGATTTCCTTGCCTCGAGTTACGTTCGAGTTCGTCTTAGAAAAAAGCAAACACCGGGAAGCCGGCTTAAAACATAAACTTCAGCTTTAAGCTCGAAGACTCAGGATTGTTAGAGACACTTTAATACTTGTCTTCCTGAATGAAAATTGTCGTCTCTGTATATGTTTCACCGAATTATATTTCTTTTATTGATTCTTAGTGCTCTTTCTTGTAATTTTAATCGTTGTGCCGATTGTTTTCAGTCGTTCAGTAAACAACGCGTCCCGGAGTACTCAAAATGCCGCGCGTTAAACCGATTTAAAATAAAAAATAAACATAATAAATTCTTTATTATGTTGGAGCGTAAGTCTGTTAATGTTTATTCAAACACCTGCCACTGCTAGCACTGTAAAAGTCAGAACCGGCTGGCCGTATAGATGATTTTGAAAATTTTTTTAACGGTTTACGGCTAAAACCCACGCGTGCTTCGATCGTCCTGAATAGCAATTTGTATCGCAATATTGTGAAATACTGCATTCTGTTGTCCGAGGTCTGTATGATAAAAACAGTACCTCATAATACTGTTTCACCTCAGATGTGATGTATAAATGATATGAAAGGCTGGTTTACACGCACCCAGATTTGTTGGCAAGATTTTGTAGAATAAACTTGTCGAACGCAAAAAATTCGGCCGGAATTTTTTTTCCAGGCCTAATTAATCTACGGTGATCAAGAGCCATTATGGCTCTTAATAAATGTGATCGAAGATGATTGCCAGTTTTTGGGTGTGCTTATGAGGCTATCAACTCGATGTGAGATTTGGTTCACTCTTGGGCTGTTTGCAAATTATTTTTTGTAAAATTACTTAGCCTTTCCCTGAAAAGTCACAAGAATGTGTTCTAAAGTGAACTGAATTGTGGAATACAAGTTTATTGTTTGATTTAAATTATAAATTTATTAATGGGAGCCTCGCTTTTAGCCCTGGCTAAATCTATATATTAATAATAATAAAAAAATAAAAAATAAATTTTCAAAAAAGTCTATTCCTGTATATGAGATAGTGTTGCCGCATTAAGCCATTAGTAATCTTAATCTTTGATTACTAATATTTATTTAGTGGTATCGCATTAGGCACGCGGACCGAGTAAAACCAAACTTTGATCAGTGTTATCTCTTAAGACTCTTAAGTTTCCTTATGCATTATTATAACACTTATGAAGGCCAAGCCACAGTTAAATAACATAACATAACATACATGTTTATTCAAACTCATATATAACTACATAAATTTGAAAGGGAGAGTCTAGAGGTTAACCCTATGAATAAAACTCTCCTAAAAACAACAAACAAACAATAAAAATTACAACTTTAAAAATGATTTCAGTTTACATTTAAAACGTTCAAGGGTACCGGCTTCAACAACATTACTAGGCAAATTGTTCCAATGACTAATTACATTGTTAAAAAAGAATATTTAAAACAGTTGATTCTAGATAATTTACAATAAAGCTTATACGAGTGATTTGCCCTAGTGGATTTGACTTTTGCGAATTAAAAGAATTCCTCAAAATCCAAGTGTGATAAGCCAAACACGATCTTATAACATTCAACAAGAGAGGAATATGTCCTACGACTGGACAAAGATGGCTAATGTAACGTGTCACAACGCTCTTCATAAGACATATCACCTCTTTTTTGCCTAAGAGCTAATCTTGACGCGCGTCTTTGCACGCTCTCTATTGCATGAATATCTTTGACAAGATATGGGTTCCAGACTGGAGCAGCATACTCTAGAAGTGGTCTGACCAATGTTTTGTAAAGCAATGAAAAAGTTGTTGTATTAGCTGTTCCAACAGACCGTCTTATTAGCCCTAGGACTTGGTTCGCCTTATTCACCATAGTACTAATATGTTCACTCCAAGTAAGATCTTTTGATATAATAATTCCAAGATCTTTAAAGCTCTTGACATCTTTTAAGGCCGTACCTAGTTTATAATTCGTAGTCGATTTGTCACGAGAATGCGTTATTCGCATTGCTTCACACTTTTCCTCATTGAAACGAAGTTGCCAATTTTTCGCCCGTTACAAACCGCCAGTGAGGACAGCCTGGTTCAGTAAAATCTCATTGTACTGCTTTTTTTCAACTTTGTTTACTCGGAGGCTGAGATTTCGTTGCCTTCATAATAAGGAAGTAACTGATTTCTGACAGATGACAGTATAGCTGCCCCCAGACTCGTACCCAGGTGAAAACATATTAGGGTTGGGTTAAGGCTTACGCGGTGCTGTGAACAGTGTAGGAGATACTTTATAACACGCTTTTATCAGCCATTTGTAATCGGCGCAGTTGGACCAGTTATAGATATCAAAATCATTTCTCTTTTTGACTATTCTATTTTTCGTTTGTTTGTAAAATGTTGTAGTATACGTTCTATGATTGTGTTGTGACTTACATAGAAGGGGCTTGCTTAGTGCTGTAGATTCGTTCACCTCTAAGCGTCTACTTGTACAATAAGCTCAGCTCAAATATCAAAGCCGGTGTCACAAATCATCTTAATTAGGTTGTTTCGTAAAAGGTTTCTACTTCGTCTGGTGTGAAAGTTAACGATCCTGCCAGGAATGATTGGGTGAAGGTGCTGCGGTAGCTGTACCCGCTTGGTGGGCTGTAAGTATAGCCAAGGTCGCTATGTGAATTGCGATTGGATGACGCGGAGTTTGATATGTAAATGTCATGTCCTCCTCCGAATGTAGGCCCGTAGGTTGAACGAAAGTATATGGAATTTTTGTTATAACTATATTTCCCTGACTGAGGCAATTTGAAAGGCGCCCATCCTGGCTTGTTTACCAGTGAAAATAAGAAGGCTTTTGAGTCGTCTTGATACCGGGCATAACCAGAAGCTAAAAGAAATGAAACAAAACTTTTCTAAGATAAGTTAGCGACATTGTCCTTGTGCCTGTCATAATGATGACGATGACGATGATGATTATTATTAATTAAAAACAATAAAAAAAACCTTATTCTCATAAAACAAATTCGATCGAGTTGCTCTAATGAACGTCATTTATCAAAAACAAAATTTTTTCTCAGTTTCAATCTTTCCTTTATTATTATTGATATTATTATTAGGGCCCTTTATACGAGGAAAATATGACGCGTCTTAAATAAAACGCGGACTTTGCCATTTATACGAGCATGTGTTAAGACGAAAACAGCTCGTATGAATGGTTCGCGTCTTATTTCTGTTCTTGAATCGTTTTCATGTGAATGTTGCCCGTAGCAACGGCAATCCAATATTTGTCCAGAAGGTATACTATTGCCCTCTTCTTGCAGAGCAACAAAAGGTCCTTTTTTTTGGGCAGTGGACCACGTGTTTCGTTTTGCCTTTGTCGGCGTGCTCATTATACTTGAGCGAAGAAACAAAGAAAGCTTAAAAGTCTTAGAATAGATAGCAACCCAAGCAAACGGAAACGCGTTGCAATTTGTTGTCAACTTTTCCCTGCTAGTAGGCTCCCAGTCCGCTGCGGGACAAGCGAAAATTTTCCCTCAAAAAATTAACGCATGCGTACTATGCGTTCGCGTCTTATGTAAGACGCGAAGGTCATTTATACGAAGTTTTTCTCGTCTTGGCTAAGACGCGTCTTATCTAAGAACAGGTAGCCTGCAGAGCAGGCGTTTTTTAACGAAAACTCGGAGGTACATTGATCGTGACCGCCATCTTGAAAAGCAACGAAAAAGACTAAGGGCGAGGGGCGGTGGAAGGGGGGAGGGGCAGGGAGGGTTAGGGTTAGGGTTAGGGTTAGGGGTTAGGGTTAGGGATCTTCTGCAGATCCAAAGATTAGCTGGTAGTTACCGTTCTCTACATCTTCTAAACTGGAGTCCGAAAGTGATGTGGCCGTTAAACCCATCGCAGTTGCTTCGGACAATTGATCGTGCACAATACTTTTTAGAGGGCAAACAACGATCACACATGCAGGTTTGCCTGTCAATATTTCTTTCACCCGCACCGACAACTAAAAGATCAGGCTTTTTTCAAAGCCTTTTGGAAGAACTACTAATAAATCTTGCCTCGACAACAGCGTCGTGGCCGCTTGCTTTTGTTCCGATCGCAATTTAATGTTCCCAGTCCAGCGAGCGCCGAAAGAGCTTTCTCCAGGGCAGAATCGAAGTCTTCCAAATCCGCCATGTTTTAAAATTTCGGATGAATCAGACTAAAATACTCCTCTCGTAGGGTCCGTAAAAAATGTGTCCCCTTGATTGGCAGCTAGCAATCAAACATCTGAAACCGCACCAATCAGAGTCCCCGTCGATCTAGTGTGCGGGTTCGCCAAATGAACAATGGCTGCGGGCAGGCGTATTTTTTCCTCCTCTCCCCTCCCCCTCCCCTATTTTAAACCCATCTACCTCTCCCTTAAAATCACTTTTTGACTCGTCCCAACTCTCTGGTAGTATTAACGTCCAAGATGGCGAGACAACGTCATTCCTGAAAACAATTCATGGATCGTGCTCCAAAATACGCCCGCTTTGCAGGCTAAAGAACAGGTGTTAAGGGCTGTTCTTAAATAAGACGCGTCTTAGCTAAGTTGCGTCTTATTGTAGACGAAATGTGCCGTTTAAACGGAAAGTTCGCCTTATTTAAGACGCGTCTTATGTGAGACGCGTCTCATTTTTCCTGGTGTAAATGGCCCTAAAAGTTATTATTATTTTATTTTATTTTTATTTACGTGTAGGTATTTTCGCAAAAGATACAGCTATACTCGTGGCAAGAGTAAGTACAAAGATATCAGATCAAAACAAACAAAATGCAATTGAGAACAATTAAACCCACTGGGGCTTCTAGTAACATAAAGTTACGAGAACAAAAATTAACAATTAATGAAGAAGGCTGGGTATCTTAGGGACTGTGCAATAATTATCAGGAGGGGAGGGGGCCCTAAAACCAGAGGGGGGGCATTACATAAAATTGCTGCCAAGATAAGGGGGGGCTCAAAGTAAAATCACTCATTTGACGGAGGGGGGGCCTTAAGTTTTATTCGAAATGTAATTAAAATTAAACGCAATAAAAGATTCTCAATACAGGCATCATGATAGACTGTAACAAATATCAACACGAACAGCGGTTAAACGATTATTGAAAATATTCCATCAAAATGAAAAGCAAATTCACAACTGATCAATTTCAACCCGTCTTCTAATTAATTGAGCTGATCCTATGTAAAGCAAAAATCATGAACTTGTTTTTCAGCTTCCCCCATAAAACAATGGGAATCAAACAGATCTCGTAGACAAGCTTTGTCGGTTTTTGATGACAAAAAGTAATGTTTCTTCATCGACTGAATCGATTTGCAGAATTCCATATATATGTGGCTCATAACAAAGTTCAACAGGCTCTCCTCCCAAGGATCTAAATATAATGCAAGCTCTTTTTCGTCTGTTATTTGAAGCGTTCAATCTCCTGTTCTTTGATCTTTTCCTCTGCTCCTTTCTCTTTCTGGCTTCAGAAATTTTAGATTTTGAGCCAATGTGGTAAGCACCCCGGTACTTAGCAAATGCTTTGTCTAAATCTTCAATCAAGCGATCAACATCCTTCTCGATACTAGATGTTACATAATAACGTTTGTCATTATTGAAGCTGTGATGGCAGCTCAGTCCAGTTTTGAGTTTACCAGTGTGGTGGGAGGGGGGGGGGTGCGACGTTATTTTTAACATAACAGAGGGGGGGTTATAACTATTTTTTTTTTGTTTTGGAGGGGGGGGGGGGTACTGTCTAAGTTTTTGCTAGATAACTCTGGTTTTTCAGCCCCCCCCCCCCCTCCTGATAATTATTGCACAGTCCCTATAATATGAAGAATTATGGAGATCGAAGAGGCTGTTATCCGTCGAGGCCGTAGGCCGAGGCGGATAACACCCTCCGAGATGATACGAAAGCCGAATTCAATAATTGTTTTATAATTCATTCAAAATAATTCCTAGTTCAAAAACGTGGCTAAGACATGCTTACCTCCATCGATGTTAAGTTCATCTTTGATAGTGCACGTTTAGGGTTGTTCAGCTCCGCAAATATTCTCCAAATAGCAGATGTCGCCCTTCGAGTTGTGTTCTTGCTGTTCTTGCCATGTTTTTAGCTATTATTTCGCCTAGTTCTTACTCTTGAAACGAGTGAAATGTCCGCCACTTTTGTTACCACAACCAAAACAACTCAACCTCGTCCACAGGTCTTCTCGGTTAACGGTATATTAACCTGCAAAAACGCTGCATTTTTTTACGTCATTTCCTCGCTAAACACAAAATTCAGAATCGGGGAAATATTTTGAATGAATAATAATGGCCATGGATATTATGTGCTGCTAAAACAGCCCAAAACCTATGTGTAGTTTTGTGTTTTTTTGCCTCATTTTATTACGTTCCATAAAAACCCCCTGTTAGCGGCACTTGGCGAAAAAAATGGATTTGCCCAAATTTGCTCCTTTCAAATATCTCGCAAATTTGTAAAAACTGAGAAGTAAATATATGGCAGAGATGTAAATGCCACATTTGCATACCAAGAACAGGGAGTGTAATTATATAAATAACTAGGCAAATGTGGCAATTACCATCTTTGCTCCAGATTTACTCCTCAGCTTTTACAAATTTGGGCAATTAAGCGGACACCCTCTATTAAGCGGACACTAAGCTGGGTCCCGAAATTTACGTCTTATATTTCTCTTTATAACGAGCCCGTATTCAGCGGACACCTCTGTTAAGCGGACGTGGACACTAAAATAAATTCTATATGGCTAATTGTTAAAAACGTCTATTAAGAGGACACCGGAAGCGGACTGAATTGACAATAGTAGTATTTGATTACGACCCTTGACTTATACGTACTGTAGTAGATTAATTAAGATAAATCAATACATTTGGCTGTCAATAAACTGTAGATTAGACCGATATCCGGCCGTATGATTGTCATCCGCGAACAAAGAAACAACTAATTTGTGACAAACACTGAAAGAATCCATATACCGAGCGTATTGTCGTTGATGTTTTCCTGTTATGTTTTTGCATTTATAAACAAATTAAAGTTGGCAATGAAAGGTAATGAACTTGAACTCTGGATAGCTTCCTTAACATCATGGAACTTTATCACAGTATACGTACAGAGTAACCGTTAAATGTTAATTGTTAGCAAATATTGCGCAAATGCAAGGAGAAAATTTGCACAAATACATATTTCGTCCCACGTGCGGTTGCCTGCGTGCAGACGTCTCCTATTTCCTTTGTTGCACGCGGAAAAGGGACGTCTGCGTAACGCCGTCGCTAATCGTGTTCCAGCGTCCCGCTGGGTTCCCAAGATCTTGGGAACATGCTGTGATAGGCTGACACACAGTGCGCATTGTTTGACATAACGCTGATTGGTTGTTATCGAATCTGGTCTGATAATGTATGCGGTGATTTATGTAATGGGGGTTTTCCAACCAAAACAATTCAAAACGTGTGCCATTGTGTGCAGACCGTTTGATGAAATCTTGTGCGAGGTCGCGGAAAATTTAACGTGTACGAGGGAATTATCTCTTGACAATTTACTGTGCATAACACATCACATCATATTTATAAACAGTGTCTGAGAAAACTACAAAAGCGGAGAAAGCCAGCCAAAGAAACTAAAATCTTTATTTTTGCTGTAACAAACAGAGGTCAAAGAAAATTTAACACTTTACAACTGCATCTGAAATCAAATCCTATCAGGAACACCCACAGAAGCATAAACAAGAGGAAATGATTACTCAGTATGCATGTAACAAACCTGCTTCATGACCTCTAAATGTAAGACAGTGCGGCAAAAACGAGATTTACTCAGTCAAAGTTGAGAATGCTACATGCACTGTGAGGTGCTAGTAACCTTCGTTCGAAAAAGCAAAGAGGAAAAACCTCTGTCCAAGCAGACTCTCAAGGTCACGTTTCGCATTATCACGAGCTTATGATGTTGTGTTTGGCCTGTCAACTCTTATTTCTAACCGGATATTATTTCACAATTTATGCGAAATAGAATACCCTGCCAGCGGGACGCTGGAACACGATTAGCGACGGCGTTACGCAGACGTCCCTTTTCCGCGTGCAACAAAGGAAATAGGAGACGTCTGCACGCAGGCAACCAGTGCGGTCGTCCCTCTTTGGACCAGTCAGTTCGTCCGCTTAGGAAAGAGTTTTGTACAGTATGGCAAATGATCCTTAGACCGCAAATGATCCCCAAAATGGACCACAAATGATCCTCGACCGTAAATCATCCCCAACGAGGACCGCAAATCACCCCAAACAAAAAATGAGGATGGCATGGACTCAAGTTCGCGGATCATCGTGTCAGTTTTATTGTTATTGCAAAAAGTAGTAAAGGTAAAATTTTGCGTCTCAAATAAATACATAATAATAATAAGTAAATGAAAAGTACATTCAAGACTTTATTCATTCAAATAAAAGCAAACCAGAACTAAACTTTAACACACTAATTTTAAAACATTGTTAACTCAAAGAAACCAGAAAATAGCTACGCATCGTAGTGTCTTCTTGAGTTACTATTTAACAATTACGCTTAAAACTATAACATAGGTATAGATAAAAACCTTGTCAAAATCAATCAATCGGTTATACTTATTGTCAACGTAAGAAAATAATGATTTTTATCAAAGTGAATGTGACACTATTCCAGTTAAATAACAGTTCTTGTGTAATACTATGGTCCCGTTGTGCATTTTCGTTAACAGGTCAAAGCATTCGCAGGCTAGCCAAAAAGCCCTATTCTAGTGTAAATTTTGTCGGTCAATCGCTAAATACGTTTGTTAAATGGAGTCCATTGCCACTTCCTTACCTTATCCTTATCTCCAAATTTATTTGTTTGTACCTTTTTTACCATTTGCCTAAGCTAGAAGCTTCTTTTTCATATATAAACTCAGTAACCTGTAAACTGTAAACTGATGCTTGTTGCAATAATACTCTTTATTACTGAAATGAATAATTCGTTCGATTTTAAGGTACTGTATTAAGAAGACAATAAATTAAAAGGAAACAGACAATAAAGAGTTTCAGGAGCCGTTTGCTGAAACGAACTTTCTTCTCGGTGTATCACGTACCTGCACATTTCAAAAGAGCGTTTTTTCTTCGCGGACATTCGCGAATTTTACCAAAAACTTTCGATGAAGTACGTTAGTCGCTTCTTTTACAATGTAGGAATTGAGGGATGGAAGATAGCCGGGTGGCAAGAAAGTCAGAACAATATCGATACTTTATAACCTAAAAATTATTATTATTATAGTATTAGCCTGGAATTTGGGCACGTTTTGACAGGCTAGAAATGCATCACTTATGATCTGCAGAACCAGAACTTGAGAAGTGGTGTGGGGGGTGGCGCTCATTCACACCATGTGAGTGTAGGAGGGGTGGTCCTCGGCCCAGGAGGAACGAGGGGATATGGGCCAACCTCTAGATCCATTAACCTAGAACCTTTGTTCGCCACTGCTTAACTATGTATGAAAGGCAGAGTTACATGATTTCATATTGCTTGGTACCAAGCTGCACTTTTAGCTGAACATATCAATGCCAATATGCGCCAAAGGTGTTAATGCCACCGCTTTGGCTTACAATGCTCACTTACCCCATGGAATACTAGTGTATCCTCCAAAAATATATCTCCCGACCCTTATTATTGTCACAGTCGGACCTTTGCCGTCACATCGGGAGTGAAACGTAGTTGCAGCCCAGCCGTCCACGGATGCACGCCAACAGCGCTTCCAGAGAGAATTCACGCTTCGCGCTACAGGGGATAGCCAACTCCTTAAACTTCTCAAATGATTTTTGCTCTTTCCCACGATAACAGAGTTTTCTAAATCTGAAAAAGAACAATCGACACTAAATGGTGTAATGAGAATTCCATATCTTGGAGACTGGCCAGAATCGGACTTTCTTTGGAACTTGTAACATCGAATTTTGTCATTGTTGAGTTATTGACATACAAAATCAGTATTAATATACACAAGTGCATTATTTTTGGCAAACTTATCCCTAACGGATATGTAGAAAAGACCATTAACGGCCACAATCGGGGCCAAATGACCGCTTAGTATAATACAGGTTTGACAACTCGATTAGGAAAATCAAAAAGAGGAAGATGGTGACTAAGAAAAATATCCATGATCATACATACATACATACATACATACATACGTTTTATTGAGTCTCCCTTTACAGGGCTTTTCAGACACAATTAACTAATTACATAAAATTTACAGAAATAAAATCTAGAATCTAAGAAGCTAAAACTAAAGTGTTCATTAAATATACTATTAAACAATAAATTAGATATTAAAATAGATATCTGATGCACCGGTGCAACTACAGTGACCGTTCAACAGAGGTGAAGACATTCGCTGCCAAACTCGTTGGAGCCTTTGAAAAAGTGACCTGACGACCGCTTAGTAGACTAAGCAGGGCCGTAGCTAGGTTTTTTGTAACGGGGGTATTTTTGCGAGTGCAGAAGCCACGAGCCTTGTAGTGGGGTCTGGGGTTATCCTCTCTCAGGAAATTTTCAAATTTGGAGGCTCCGAAACGTTATTTTCAGCACTTGTCATGAGATATGTCTCCGAAAAATCGACCTCGAATATAAAAACGGCAAACAATTGCAAGTCACTATAATCAAAATAACTGAGTCTAAAGAAAACAAATCCATCCAAAGACTTGATGTCTCTGGCTCAACAGGTCCGGGGGCGGCGGCTGCCCCCCTTGCTCCCTCCCCCCCGCTAGCTACGGCTCTGGACTAAGGTGACGGCTTATTCAGTTTAGATTTAAAGTAATTGAGGAAAATGATCTCTGAGACTTGGTATAAGTGACCGCTTATTAGTCATAGTCAGGTTCCCTTACAGGTTTGACTGTCTGATATCAGTCCTTCCAATAGCTGCAAGAAACTCAAGTGATGAGGACAAAACTGATGTCATTATTTAAACAGTTTATAAAAACAAGATAAGTTATTTCCACCTCATACATGTAACTAGAACTAAAACGTTTGGGCAAACGAAAATGACCATTTGCTGACAGTGAAGTTTTGCCACCACCCTAAACCAAATAAATAGAGCAAACCTGGCTTTCGTTGTACGGCCACATTGATCCTGGCCTTCTTTGTTCCCATAATGTTAGTAGCAATACAGTCGTACAAACTGCTGTCAGCAGGATTTAAGTTCTTAATAGTTAGTGTTCCTTGGTTTACTTCAGTCCTTCCAGCTGGCAAAGACATTCCCACTCTACTCCAGTTTATTACGGGACGAGGGAAACCTTCAGCTTGGCAAACTACCTGAAAGGTAGTGCGCTGTACTGGCGTGGCAAGTGGTGGTGGAACTTTTGTGAATATTGGAAGTCCTAGGGAAAAAAATAAAACCTTACAATGAAAACAAGTACAAACCGTATAACAAAGAATAGAAACTACTGAGAACTATTTAGAAAACGGAGCTTCTACACGATGTAAAGTTTTAGACGTTTTACCCTATATTAAGTCAGAAGCATGCTTCCGGTCTAGTTTAACGGTGAAACCACAAATACAAAAAGTGATGAATGACGCAAAACGAAATCAATTAGCTATTGGAAAACCCTTAAACAAGAGAAGGATGCATTCCCAGCCGTTTGTGAGCGTACACAACGGAGACACGCATAAAAATGATCAATCAGCAGCTGGGTGTGTAAATCTCGGAAGCTTCTATTATGTCCTTACCTCGAACAGTCAAGTTACAGGTGGCCTCGGACAATCCAAGAATGTTCCTGGCAGCACATGTGTACTGCCCAGCATCGCTGTAATTTAGATTTCTCACGATCAACTCTCCTACTTTAATCAAATACTTTGCACCCGACAGAAGCTTTCTGCCCTTAAATTGCCATTCCACGATTGGGGAAGGATTTCCGGCGACCGTGCAATAAGATGCTGTATTTCCTCCCTCGTCTCGTGTCTGCTCTGCTGGCGTCAGCATCACTTGTGGAGTAGATAGCGATTTCCCAGGCCTTCCAGGTGGTCCCGGCATGCCTTTTGGCCCAGGGTCTCCTTTATCTCCCTTTTCTCCTCTCAGTCCTGCGGGACCAGTTAGTCCTGTTTTTCCGGATTTTCCAGGAGGACCCATGGGACCTTGAGGACCTTTCTTTCCCTTTGGTCCCCTCTTACCACGTGGTCCCCTCGCTCCAATGGGACCAGGATATCCGGGGGGACCTGCAGGACATACCTTGTCACTTGACCTACAGTACTTGGTGGGCATAAGTTGTTCAAACTGTTTGCTGATTTCTTTTCTCACTTCTTGTATGGTGACGCCAGTTGAAGTGTCGTTCAAAACGTTTCTTCGCTTTCTTACCCGGACGGTTGCTGATTCCTTTATTTGCAACCGGTTGACTGCAGTAAAGTGAAATTTGATAATACCTGTTAATTACCCATTGATAAATTGTAAAAATGGGCAAGATCGTGAAGGAACGAAAGAATGAAACGGCTGACATTTCTGATAAAGGTAACTTGAAAAAGAACAAGAATCGAATCTTACGACCTGCCCACGAATTTCAAGCCAACTGAGATCTTGAATCAGCACCAGTCCTACTTTCAATAGCTCTTAATGTAATCCCATAAGGGTTAAGAAAGGTTTTTCAAGTTAGACTGAACTCCTTTGAAAGAAACGAAAATATCTCCATGAATAATCTCTTAATACACGCCTTTTGTCTGTACTGATCTATAATGTCTATACTATTCGAAAATTTATCCAGAAAGTGCTAAACGAAAATAGCTCAATCTAGAGCAAACAGATAAATCTAAAAATGAATTGCCAAGAATTGGATCATTATTGCTTGAAATTGGTCACGCAATACCTTTCAATTCAGAGACCCCAAATAACCTCAAACCAGAAGCACATGCAGGCCCCACTTAAAGAAATGTTTAAGAAACCTCATCTAGTGTTGTCTAGCTGAAAATGTTAAAAAGACAATCTTGTTGAAAAGCTGTATAGTAATGATATCGACTATCTGGCGCGTGAAGGAATCGTGTTCTGCCCTTGTAAACACATTATTCATAAATTCAACTTCATTTACGCTGTAGATCTCTTCAGTTTTTTTATCAGTGCCAGTGGCTTAATTACTGTCAGATCTAGGGAGCATTACAAAACACTTTCATACAGTGTAAGTCAGACTAAGTTAAAATCTGATACTATTTTGGAATTGCAAAACATTCCGTGTTGTTAACGCGAACTCACGTCATGAAAGGTTATGTCTTAACCGAGGGAGGATAAAAGCAGGTCTAAACATCCTCAAAGTACATAAGGCCATCCGAGTAAGAAGAGTAAGAATAAATTTTACCCGAGGTATAACCGTTCCCATCATCTGAAACTTGTGTCTGCATCTTCTTGGAAAGGTCTATTGCGATATCTTTTGTCGGTGAGAAAATCATCCTGTCAAGATTATCAATCGTGCCACGCTTAGTGCAAGGAACACAGTAAATACGAGATTCCAGTGAAATCAGTCGTTCGTTTGTTGCTTCATTTTTCACCCAGAGACATCCGCAAACTAAAACTAATACTACCGAAAGGAACGATGGTCTAATTGACGGAACAAACTCAAGGACTCGTTGAGGTTTTGAAGAGTTTACGGTTTTCATTTTTTGTAGTTTTACGATCGTTTTCTTTCACAGCCACTCGAAGACGGAAGTTTGAGGGAACGTTCCAAGTTATATAAACCTGATCCGCTTCTGATTTAGCCCAGAAAAACAAGAGTGTTGGCTTACATTAGATTGACGTAAGCTGTAACTTTTTTTCTTGTTGCACTCAAACGTGGTCAAAGTTCTAACAGTTTCCTTATTCTAAAATAATTGCAGAAATCAAACATCACGTTTACAGGAAAGGTAAGAGGTTGGCCACGTGACCATTGGCTTTATTCTTCATTCTTGATAACGTGGAGTGAATAAAGTTTCTCTTTTTGTAACACACATTCGAGCATGAGTATTTTATTTAATTCAATTCTTGTTTACTGTCACAGTCACTCCAAGTTTGAGGGAAAGTTGCAAGTTAAACCTGATCCCTCCTTCTTAAGCCCATAAAAACAAGTGTAGTAAATTAGCTTACATTAGATTGACGTAAGCCGGGCTGCTCTGCCGGTTGTTAACCTTGCTCCTGTTGCACTCAAACGTGGTCAAAGTTCCAACAGAGACCATATTTTAAATTATTGCTGAAATCAAACATCACGTTTACAAGAAAGGAAACTAGTTTGACCACGTGACCATTAACCCTCATTATTGATAACGTTGAGAGAATGAAGCTCTCTTTTTATGACAAACATGAGTAATTTTATTGAATTTTAATTCTTGTCCGTACATTAACTATTAATACTAGCCCGTAAACGTGATCTTTTATCTAGTTATTATCAGTAGAAATTTCCTATAAGGGTATATTTTATTAGAGACTTTTCAGAAATTAGCATGGGGGAGAGGAGAGGTGGAGATTTTCAGTTAAGCGTTGAAAATAAAATGATCCTCCCTAGGTAAGGGATTAAAATGTCCCGACCCTCCCCTGGAAAGCATCCTACAATTTTTTGACCCTCCCCTGAAGAAATGACAAGTCCCACTTCTTATACAGTGGTACAAGGAAAATAATCCAGTACTTTCAAAAAAGCAAACTTGTATTAAAACTGACCTATGACGAGCATGCAACGGTTTTTTTTGTTGTTGGGAAAACAGGGCAAAAGAAAGTTTTTGGTTTCAATGGGATAATAACAGTTTCTTCTTAAAGACTATAAGAAGCAAAGACAGACTCACTAGGATCAGACAATTTTCGCGAAAAAGTCATTGTTCTGAATATTGTTTCAGCGGAGAACACTTGAAGTGATGCTTCAGACACGGGCAAGTCACAAAAATGCAGGCAAAAAGAAAGCAAAACAGAAAAAAATGGAGGCTAACTGTAACCTGATAATTATGAGAACCATTACACTTCAGCCAAGAGCCATGATGCAGAGCCCATAGGCCCATACGCGTCAACTTCCTTCTCGGACTGTATTTTCCTTCGTCGTATTGTTAAAATAAAGCCAAAATAAGTGTATCAAGCGCTTGATGCATGGCCTGCGTAATAGAGGTGAGAACAAAGAAAACTGTCGTTGGGATGGCCAAAAGGTGGTTGTGGCCGCTTAATGGAGATTGAACTGTGTGTCAGGAAATAATCGCATGTCATCATTCTCCTAAGTGGTTTGTATTCTTGTAAAACATAATATAGATTAAAGCATCCTTTCACGATCGCGGTGGTTTATTCTTTTGTGACCCTCCCTCTTTTCCTGTCATTTTTTTCATCACCCTCCCTTTTGAAGGGCTAAAAATCTGCGACCCTCCCCTGTTTTCCACCTTTCCTCCCCCCTGCTAATTTCTGACAAGTCCCTTAATATTTTATATAATAGGTCAGTCATAAAGGATACTGATGTGCCTCAGATTTTATACATAGGGCTTACATGAGGTAGTAGCCCAACGCTGGTAATTTTAATTACTACACTGCTAGAAGGTGATCGGGATTGTCACGTGACTGCAAGCAGTCTATTCCTGTATATGAGATAGTGTTGCCGCATTAAGACATTAGTAATCTTAATCTTTGATTACTAATATTAGTGGTATCGCATTGGGCAACAAAGTAGTGAGGACAGCCTGATTCAGTAAAATATCACTGTACTGATTTTTTTTTCAACTTTGTTTATTCGGAAACTGAGATTTCTTTGCCCTCCTGATAAGGAAGTAACTGTTTTCTGACAGATGACAGTATAGCTGCCCCCAGACTTGTATCCAGGTGAAAAAAGATCAGCGCAGTTGGACCAGTTGTAGATATCAAAATCATTTCTCTTTTTGACAATTCGTTTTTTCGTTTGTTTGTAAAATGTTGTAGTATACGTTCTAATAATTGTGTTCTTATTTAAATATAAGGGGCTTGCTTAAGCGTCCACTTGTACAATAAGCTCAGCTCAAATGCCAAAGCCGGTGTCACGAATTATATTAATTAGGTTGTTTCGTAAAAGGTTTCAACTTCGTCTGCTGTGAATCTGTATGTTCCTGCCAGGAATGTTCGTGCAAAGGTGCTGGTGACGCTGTACCCGCTCGGTGGGCTGTAGGTCCAGCCAAGGTTGCTGTAAGAATTGCTATTAGATGACGCGTAGTTGGAAATGTGAATGTCATGTCCTCCTCCGAATCTAGGCCCATAGGATGAGCGAAAGAATGTGGAATATTTTCTATAACTATATTGTCATGACTGAGACAATTTGACAGGCGCCCATCCTGGCTTGTTTACCAGCGAAAATAAGAAGGCTTTTGAGTCGTATTGATACCGGCCAGAACCAGAAGCTAAAAGAAATGAAACAAAACGTTTCTAAGATAAGTTAGCGACATTGTCCTTGTGCCTGTCATAATGATGACAATGATGATGATTATTATTATTAATTAAAGACAATAAATACCTTATTCTCATAAAACAAATTCGATCGAGTGTTTTTTCTTAGCCGAAATGTGCCAATTTTTTTTTTGCACCAAAAACTTGCGATGAAGTACGTTAGTCGCTACATTTGCAATATGGGAATTGAAGGATGGAAGATAGCAGGGTGGCAAGAAAGTCAGAACAATATCGATATTTTATAAACTCAAAATTATTATTATAATAGTATTAGCCTGGAATTTGGGCACGTTTTGACAAGCTAGAAATGTATCACTTACCAGCTGCAGAACCGGAACTCTAGAGAAGGGGTGGGGGGGGGGAGGGGCGCTCATTCACACCAGGAAAGGTGGTCCTCGCCCCTTGAGGAACGAGGGATATTGGCCCGCATCTAGAGCTATTAACCTGGAACCTTTGTCCGCCACTGCTTAATCGGAGAAAGGTAAAGCCCAGCCGTCCACGGATGCTCGCCAACAGCGTTTCCAGAGAGAATTAACGCTTTTTGCCACAGGTGTTAGCCATTTGTTTAACGAGGTTAAGTAATTATTGTTGCTTCCCACAATAACGGAGTCGTGCAAAATCTACTTCTTTTTTTTTTTTTAGAACTGTTTAAAAACTCTTCAACAGTTCATTCCCTTGCCATGTGTAACGGCATCCAAGTGACAAGAGACTGGATATCAAGTGCCACTTTATTTTCTGGCTAGGAAGTTCTTAGTATTTCAAATTTAAACTCTAGTGAAGGCTCCCCTTTCCTTTTCCCTTTAAGAACACGCTACTCACAGGTCAACCTATAACAATGACACTCTTTTTATAACAATATGAAAGACCATCACTGTCAGTCCTATACAAATTTAACTTAAGAAGTCTGAGTGATGTTGTGATTATGTCCTAACATATTTGTCTTGAACTGGATATACGAACCTCCTTAAAGCCCCTTCAATCTCTACAATCTGTAACCATGGTCTCCATTAAGGATTATGTTACATGTCACTAAATGTTCCATTTATGTCTGTACAGACCTTACATGGGCGGATCTAGGGGAGGGTGCAGGGAGTGCGCACCGCACAGGTGACCTGCGACTTTCTAATACAATTGGTATTCTGTACTATGTGGTTTATTGGTGTTGAAGTAAAACATGAAGCGAGGTTGAAGCATTTATGTTAAACGCCGTAAAAATGGTAGTTTGGCACTGAAAAATCCTGGTAATAGGCTCCTGGTTTACTTCACCAGTCTGTCACACCATTCCTTAGTGGTGCAACCCTACCTTAGAAAAATCCTGGATCCGCCCCTGCTGCCTTGCTGCCGAGGACAAACCTGCAGCTGAGCTGCGTTGTACTGCCACATTGATCCTGGCCTTCTTTGTTCCAATGATGTTTGTTGCCACACATTCGTACAAACCGTTGTCAGCCGGGAGTAGGTTCTTAATGGTTAATGTACCCCTGTTTACCTCACAGTTTCACTGTGTGAGCTGTCGTGCGAAAAGTAGCTTACTTTTCGCACGCCAGCTCACACAGTGCAAATGTAGCCTCTGCTCGCAGGGTAACTATGAGGTGAAATTGCATGTTAAAAGCGCTTCGTTTTCTACAGATAACAGCCGAACATCAAGATTGTCCATTTTTTACCGTATTTCTAACCATAAAAACTTCATTCCAAAATATCTCGATAACGCTCTTGCAGATTTCGCTCAAACTATCTATTCAGTGTATTCGAGCCTAACACATACCTAACAACTAAATTGCTCTATATAATGTAACCATGATGTTAGGCATTTATGTTAAACGCCGTAAAAATAGTAGTTTGGCACTGAAAAATCCTTGTAATAGACTCCTGGTTTAAGTCACCAGTCCGTCACACGATTCGTTAGTGGTTCAACCTCACCTTAGAAAAATTCTGAATCCGCCCCTGCTGCCTTGCCGCATAAGACAAACCTGCAGCTGAGCTGCGTTGTACTGCCACATTGATCCTGGCCTTCTTTGTTCCAATGATGTTTATTGCCACACATTCGTACAAACCGTTGTCAGCAGCGCTTAGGTTCTTAATGGTCAATGTTTACCTTACATTTTCGCTTTGTGAGCCATCGTGCGAAAAGTAGCTTACTTTTTACACGCCAGCTCACACAGCGAAAATGTAGCCTCTGCTCGCAGGGTAACTATGAGGTGAAATTGCATGTTAAAAGCGCTTCGTTTTCTACAGATAACAGCCGAACATCAAGATTGTCCATTTTTACCGAATTTTTAACCATAAAAACTTTATTCCAAAATATCTCCATAACGCTCTTGCAGATTTCGCTCAAACTGTGTATTCAGTGTATTCGAGCCTAACAACCACATTGCTCTATATAGTGTAACCATGTATTATGTTCTCTAACATTTTGTAGCCTCTTTTCATACAGCTGCTAAGAGGTTTTTACTTATAAGCTTACTGGGACAATCGATTTTAGAGATTGTTTAGTTATTTTTAGTGATCATCAGATAATGCATATTTAAGAAGACACAACAAGCTCATTACTTAAACATAAAAGCCGGTTGTAGCTCATTAGAATTATTTAAGTTGTTTCGTAAAACGTTTCTATTTCCCCTGGTGTGAGCTGGTATGTTCCTGCCAGGAATGTTTGGGCGAAGGTGCTGCCGTAGCTGTATCCGCTCGGTGTTCTGTAAGTATAGCCAAGGTTGCTATGTGAATTGCGATTGGATGACGCATAGTTTGATATGTAAAGGTCATTTCCTCCTCCGAATGTAGGCCCCTGTGATGGGTATTGTATATGGAATTTTGCCTTAGGTAGCTATATTTCCCTGTCTGAGGCAGCTTGACGGGTGCCCATCGTGGCTTGTTTACAAGTGAGAATAAAAAGGCGTTTGAGTCGTACCGATACTCAGAGCCAGAACCTACAAGAAAATAGAGATGGAATAAGAGTTCCATTTGGGATATTTTTTCTGATACAGAAGGTAAATTAGAGCGTCTGCGACGCAGGCAAAATGAACACAAGACACATCATAAAAAAAAAAAACTCATGAAGTGTGTGGAGAGTTTAATTCCTATCTGGAACTCACGCCTTTTTTTTAGTTCTTCTCTCAACATATATCCTTACACTAACAATGTAAATAAACAAAAAAAATACGCCTTCGGCCAATTTGAAAAACACGGCCGATTAGTCCCTGAATTGAAATCCACTCATGACCAGTCATATTACCCTGCTTACATCTATACCCTCGACAAGAATAACTCCAAACACATCCAATAAAAACGAAAAAATGTAAATCACTGGGTCACCTAGTAATATACAATTAGTGGAACAAAATTTACAGATACTAAGTGCTTTATAAATTATTGATAAAATAACCATGAGAATGTTTATATTTTGTGTTTATCACACAGTGTTTCATTTTATTGCTTACAATAAAACCTCCCGCTAGCAGCCAATTTTTGAACGCAATTACAAAGCAATAGATTCGAGCAAAAAAAATATTTGAAAAATAATAAGTAAAATGTCAAGTAATTAGATATTTCCTTTTGTAACTTGTTTAGAGCAAATCTGGAAAATCATGATCTGTTGTTGTTGTTTTTTGCCACATTTACTAAACTAACCTGAATACTTTATAGGCTGCTGTTTAACCTTGCAAGGTAAAACTGACTCCACGTTGCTCAGTACCAGGCTATCAAGCTGCGCTTTTAGCCGCACATATCCCTGCAAGTGACCGCATGGTGTTAAGGTAACCGCCCCTTACAATACGCACTTACCCCAAGATTTACTAGTGTATCCTCCAAAAATATATCTCCCGACTCTTATTATTGTTACTGTCGGGCCTTTGCCGTTACAGACGGAGTGAAATGTACTTGCAGCCCAGCCGTCCACGGATGCACGCCAACAGCGCTTCCACAGAGAATTCACGCTTTTTGCCACAGGTGCTAGCCAGTCTCTTAACGAGGTCAAGTGATTTTTGTTGTTTCTCACAATGACGGAGTTTTCCAAACCTAAGGGGAAAAAAGACCATTTTTCATTATATGAGGTACAAAGTATTTGAAATTTCACAGAAACTGAATTTATATCCACTGAGGTATTAGCAAAGAGATAGGATAACCATATTGCAAAATGTAAAATTAACGTTAACTTGATTCGTTTTGCTAAAGAGAAATTTAAAGTGTTACGTTTTAGACTGATCAAAACTCCAGTAATGAGGCATAATGTCTTAAGTTGCAATTTGTGGTAAGCCCAACATACACAACGACAATGGCTTTCATTCTAATCTTTCCGATCTGTTCTGCTATTTCGGACCGTGAAGTTAAATGCACGATGTAGAACACCAACGATGGTAGCACGTAAGCATGATTATTTTTCTAGTTCCCGTTTCCTTGAAGTCGAACAGCGAAAGCAAACAGCTGAGGCTATATCCATTCATTATTGCGCAGATAAGACTAATCAGATAAGACTAATCATTTCTTAAAATTATCCTTATGTTTGCTTGGCTCAGGTTAAGCGTTTAACTTCACAGGTGACTAGTGGCTAACAACAAATTAGAAAAATGGATGAATTAAAATGAAGGAAGAGATAAAAGTACATGATCAAACAATAGTGCCACTTACATATTTAAACCTCGTATTCTCGCATTCTCGGAGCAGAAAGTAACCTAGAAATAGCAAAAGTACAGTGTTTCTCTTACCTCTAACAGTCAAGTAACTAATGGCCTCCGACATTCCAAGAATGTTTCTGGCAGCACATGAGTACGGTCCAGCATCGCTGTAATTCAGATTTCTAACGATCAACTCTCCTTCTTTAATAAAGTACTTTGCACCTGACAGAAGCTTTCTGCCTTTAAATTGCCCTTCCACGACTGGGGAAGGATTTTCTGCAACCGTGCAATAAAATGCCGTATTTTCTCCCTCATCTCGTGTCTGCCCTGTTGGCGACAACATAACTTGAGGAGCAGAAATCGATTTCCCAGGGTCCCCTTTTGTCTCCCTTTTCTTCTCTCGGTCCTGCGGGACCAGTTAGTCCTGTTTTTTCCAGATTTTCCAGCTGGTCCCATGGGACCTTGAAGACCTTTCTTTCCCTTTGGTCCTCTCCTGCCACGTGGTCCCCTCGCTCCAGTGGGACCAGGATATCCGGTGGGACCTGCAGGACATACCTTGTCACTTGACTTACAGTACTTGGTGGGCATCAGTTGTTCAAACTTTTTGCTGATTTCTTTTCTCACTTCATTTATGGTGATGCCAGTGGAAGTGTCGTTCAAAACGTTTCTTCGCTTTCTTACCCAGATGGTTCCTGGTGCCTTTATTGGCAACGGGCTGGCTGCAGTAAAGTAAAATTAGATAATACCTGTTAATTACCCATTGATAAATTGTAAAAATGAGCAAGATCAAGAAGAAACGAAAGAATGATACGGCTGACATTTCTGATAAAGGTAACTTACAAAAGAACAAGAATTGAATCTTAAGACCTGCGCACGAATTTAAAGCCAACTGAGTTCTTGAATACACCTACTTTCAATCGCTCTTGTAATCCCATAAGGATTAAGAAAGGTTTTTCAAATTAAACTGAACTCCTTTGAAAGAAACGGAAATATCTCCATGACTGAATAATCTCTTAATACACGCCTTTTGTCTGTACTGATCTATACTGTCTATACTATTCGAAAATTTATCCAGAAAGTGCGAAACGAAAATAGCTAAATCTAAAGCAAACAGATAAATCTAAAAATGAATTGCCAAAAATTGGGTCATTATTGCTTGAAATTGGTCACGCAATCCCTGTCAATTCCGAGACCTCAAATAACCTCAAACCAGCTGAACCAGAAGCACATGCAGCCCCCACTTAAAGAAATGTTTAAGGAACCTCATCTAATGTCGTCTATACGTCTGGCGCGTGAAGGAATCTTGTTCGACCCTTGTAGACACATTATTTATAAATTCAACTTCATTTACGCTGTAGATCTCTTCAGTTTCTTATCAGTGGCAGTGGCTTAATTACTGACATCTAGGGAGCATTACAAAACACTTTCATACAGTCTAAGTCGGACTACGTTAAAATCTGATACTATTTTGGAATTGCAAAAGATCTCGTGTTGTTAACGCGAACTCACGTCATGAAAGCGGGTTATGTCATAACCTAGGGAGGAAAAAAGCAGGTCTAAACATCCTCAATGTACTCAAGGCCATCCAAGTAAGAAGAGTAAGAATAAATTTTACCTGAGGTATAGCCGTTCCCATCATCTGAAACTTGTGTCTGCATCTTCTTGGAAAGGTCCATTGCGATATCTTTTGTCGGTGAAAAAGTCATCATGTCAAGATTATCAATGGTGCCACGCTTGGTGCAAGGAACACAGTAAATATGAGATTCCAGTGAAATCAGTCGTTCGTTTGTTGCTTCATTTTTCACCCAGAGACATCCGCAAACTAAAACTAATACCACCGAAAGGAACGATGGTCTAATTGACGGAACAAACTCAAGGACTTGTGGAGATTTGGAAAAGTTTACGGTTTTCATTTTTGTAGTTTTACGATCGTTTTCTTTCACAGCCACTCGAAGACGGAAGTTTGAGCGAAAGTTTCAAGTTAAACCTGATCCGCTTCTGATTTAGCCCAGAAAAAAAAAGTGTTAGCTTACATTAGATTGACGTAAGCTGGGCTATTCTGCCGGTGGTAACTTTTCTCCTGTTGCTCTCAAACGTGGTCAAAGTTGCAACAATTTCCGTATTCTAAAATATTGCAGAAACCAAACATCACGTTTACAGGAAAGGTAAGAGGTTGAAGATGTGACCATTGGCTTTATTTATCATTCTCGATAACGTGGAGAGAATAAAGTTCCTCTTTTAGTAAAAAACATTCGAGTATGAGTAATTTTATTTTATTTAATTCTTGTTTTCTGTCACAGTTTCTGCACGTTTGAGGGAAAGTTGGAAGTTAAACCTGATCCCTTCTCATTAAGCCCATAAAAACGAGTGTATTGGTTAAATTTAGCTTACATTAGATTGACGTAAGCCGGGCTGCTCTGCATGTTGTTAACCTTCCTCCTGCTGCACTCAAATGTGTTCAAAGTTCCAACAGATACCATATTTTAAATTATTGCTTAAATCAAACATGACGTTTACAGGAAAGGAAACAAGGTTGACCACGTGACCATTAGCAGACATTATTGATAACGTTGAGAAAATGAAGCTCTCTTTTTATGACAAAACTGAGTAATTTTATTGAATTTTAATTCTTGTCTGTAAAAACAATTAATACTAGCCCGTGAACGTGATCTTTTATCTATTTACTATCAGTAGACATATCCTATGAGTGTATATTACATTAATATTTTACATACTAGAATAGTCCTGATGGCTACTGATGTGCCTCAGATATCATACGTAGGGTTTACATGAATTAGTAACCCAACGCTCTTAAATTTAATTACTACACTGCCAGAAGGCGATCGAGATTGTCACGTGACTGCAAGCAGTCTATGCCTGTATATGAGATAATTAGAGATAGTAATTTTAATCTTTGATTACTAATATTTATATAGTGGTATCCGGCATTATGCACGCGGACCGAATAAAACCAAACTTTGATCAGTGTTATCTCTTAAGACTCTTAAGTTTCCTTATGGATTATTGTAATACTTATGAAGGCCAAGCCACAGTTACAAACCGCCAGTAAGGACAGCCTGGTTCAGTAAAATATCACTGTACTGCTTTTTTTTCAACTTTGTTTACTCGGAAGCTGAGATTTCTTTGCCCTCATGATAAGGATGTAACTGTTTTCTGACAGATGATAGCATAGCTGTCCCCAGCTAGACTCGTACCCAGGTGAAAAAAGATTAGGGTTGGGTTAAGGCCTACGCGGTACTGTGGACAGCTTGGGAGATACTTTATAACAAGTTTTTATCAGCCATTTATAACCAGAGCAGTTGGACCAGTAATAAATATCAAAATCATTTCTCTTTTTGACAATTCTATTTTTGGTTTGTTTGTAAAATATTGTAGTATACGTTCTAATGATTGTGTTTTGATTTAGATATAAGAAGCTTGCTTAGTGCTGTAGATTCGTTCACCTTTAAGTGTCTACTTGTACAATAAGCTCAGCTCAAATATCAAAGCCGGTGTCACGAATTATATTAATTAGGTTGTTTCGTAAAAGGTTTCAACTTCGTCTGGTGTGAACTTGTAAGTTCCTGCCAGGAATGTACGTGCGAAGGTGCTGCGGTAGCTGTACCCGCTCGGTGGGTTGTAAGTCCAGCCAAGGTTGCTGTAAGAATTGCTATTAGATGACGCGTAGTTTCTGATGGTAATGTCATGTCCTCCTCCGAATGTAGGCCCATAGGATGAGTAAAAGTATATGGAATCTTTGCTAGAACTATATTGCCCTGACTGAGACAATTTGACAGGCGCCCATCCTGGCTTGTTTACCAGCGAAAATAAGAAGGCTTTTGAGTCGTATTGATACCGGCCAGAACCAGAAGCTAAAAGAAATGAAACAAAACTTTTCTAAGATAAGTTAACGACCTTGTCCTTGTGCCTGTCATGATGATGAGGACGACGGTGATTATTATTATTAATTAAAAACAAAAAAGACCTTATTCTAATAACACAAATTCGATCGAGTTGCTCTTGACTAATGAACGTCATATATCAAAAACGAAATTTTCAGTTTCAATCTTTCCTTTATCATTATTATTATTATTATTATTATTATTTTATTGTATTATTATTTACGTGTAGGTATTTTCGTAAAAGATACAGCTATACTAGTGGCAAGAATAAGTCCAAAGACATCAGACCAAAACAAACAAAATGCAATTAAAAACAATTAAACCCACTGGGGCGTCTAAATATAAAACTAATGGAACAAAAATAGATATTGAGTGCTGCTAAAACAGCCCAAAACCTATGTGTGTAGTTTTGTGTTTTATTTGCCTCATCTTATTACATTCAATAAAACCCCTCTTTAGCGGCACTAGGGGAAAAAATGGATTTGTCCAAATTTGCTCCTTTCTATATATCTCACAAGTTGTAAAAACTGAGGAGTAAATATAGACTGAGTAGTAGGGCTTCAGCAAACTTAACCCCCGTTGGTGGATTCCCTTTGGATTCCCTCGCAGAAAGTGGATTCCCTTAATTAATAGGCATATTGGTCTAGTCAATGACGTCACCCATTGTTATAACCTAGGGAAAAAATGGGTTCCTCCATACTAATTAAGTGTCTTCCTCCATATATAATGAAGTGGATAGGTTTACTAATGAGCGTCACTCTACTACAATAGGAACAATAGGCTTGCCTAGACTTGCCCGTGAAGTAACTTGAGCTCGGTTTCGGACAGTCTATTAAAAGGAAAATAGGAATAAGAGAAGCGATCACCTAGCAACGCGAGAAACGGCTTCCTATATCTTATTTAGCGCTAAAACTCAGATATACATAAACAAAACACATACAGAAAGTGGAGTTGAAAAGTCTTTATTTCCGTTTAGTTTATGTCTTCTTATTGAGCTCTAAAACTCGAATATATATAAACAAAATACACAAATTAGAACTGAAAACTCTATTTCAATTTTGTCTGACGTTTTCTCCTTTCTATCTCGAGGAAATGAAAAACTATTAAAGTCATTTTCACGCACGGTTAATCAGTTAATTATGCGAGTTCACGAGTTGAATACAAATTAGCTCTACAGGAAAGACCCAAGGGAGAGAATCTTGACGTATTATTATAAAACAAATAACTTAACAAGGATCAATTAAAACACGCGACTCATATTTGCTAGCAATAAAAACACAAGAGAGATACCGTTTTAAAAAACTTTATTAAAAACCAGTGACAAAAAGAGTCAAATACACAGGAATGGAAATTAATTAATCTTCATCTTCGCCCATGGAGTACTTGTAAGGTTTGAATTTCTTATGCCGACGTTTCTTCAGCTGTTTGCCATGAGATTTATGATCATCCAAATAATTTACAAATTGAATCCGACGCCTTTTGCGCTTCGGGCCTTGTGGTGATGGGGTTTCTACTGTAGGAGGAGGGGTCAGGAAAGCAGGATTTAAGGGTGGTGGACGGGTGAGGCTTTCTTTGTCAGGTTTTTGAGAGATAGCCGCTTGTGTTAATTCAGGTGTTACATTAAAGAGGTTGAGGGGAGTCGAGAATGCTGTCGTTGCTGTCGAAGAATCTTGTGTCCTTGATGTTAAGTCTGGAACAGTGCTGATTATTTCTTCCGGTCGTGTTCTTGTACTTAATTGTTCTTTAAAAGCCAGGTATCTGTTTTGCAAGTGAAGGTATCGTTTAGCTTTTTCTTCGTCCCGAAGATCGTTTCGAGAAAGCACGTCATCCATGTTGTCTTGTATTTCTTGCATAGCTGGAAGAAGTGGGACAGGTGAAAGATTTTGCTGCTTCAGATATTTTAGAAGCTCTTGAGGAATATTTTCTTGAAACCCTGCTTGGTTAAAGCCTTCTTCACTGGGCAGGACGTTTGTTCGCAGTCGACAATTATCTTGGGTAGTAGTTTTCAGATCAATCAACAGATAACCAAAAGGTCTTTTTACAGCCTCTTCGTACTGATTTAAAAAGAAATCCGTCTGCCCGGGATACATTTGCTTCGCCAGAGTCAGGATTTGCAATTTGTCTCGTGGATTCTTGAATAACACCAGATAATGGCTGTTTAGGCTTATGCTGCGACTACCTTTCCCCTGATGAAATAGATTCTGCACGATATAAATCACGCTCAGATTGCGATGATGAGAACCACGAGTAAAAAGGTTCACAATCCGCTTGTCTTTACTGGCGTCAATCATCTGATCATCAAACACGATCAGATTCCGTTTGTTCACATCAAAATAGGAATCTTGCTCCAAAGCCGTAGGAATTCCCTTGACGAATTCAATGTTTGGCATGGCGACTAACATTTGTGTATACGCAGGCTGCCATTGTGAATAACACCAAACGATCCTCTCCGGGGAAGGATAAATGGTCTCTGAAGCTTGTTGCAATAGCGATCGAACCCAGGCCGTTTTTCCGGAACCGGTCATTCCGGCAATCATGGAGGTGAAAGGATGCTCGAAGCGAAACCGCTGACATTTCTGTGAAAATATTGGAACTGTTTGAAATGGGGTGAGACCAGCATTGCGGTGTTTAGACATCACGTGCCTTTGCATACTATCTTTTCTACTAAAGGATTTTTCGCAGACAGAACAGAACCAACTCATGTCAACTCCTCAGGAGCAAAATGTAGACTGAGAAGGAGGTAGAATGTTACGCATTTATGTAGTTTTTCAGACCACAAGATTCTATTGTTTTCCTCACCCAAGACCACCACCATCACCGCCACCACATTTCTATTGTTTTCCCTCCACCACCACCACCGCCACCACATTTCTATTGTTTTCCCTCCACCACCACCACCACCACCACCACCACCACATTTCTATTGTTTTCCCTCCACCACCTCCACCACCACCACCGCCACCACATTTCTATTGTTTTCCCTCCACCTCCACCACCACCACCACCACCACCACCACATTTCTATTGTTTTCCCTCCACCACCACCACCACCACCACCACCACCACATTTCTATTGTTTTCCCACCACCACCACCACATTTCTATTGTTTTCCCTCCACCACCACCACCACCACCACATTTCTATTGTTTTCCCTCCACCACCACCACCACCACCACTACCACCACCACATTTCTATTGTTTTCCCTCCACCACCACCACCACCACCACCACCACATTTCTATTGTTTTCCCTCCACCACCACCACCGCCACCACATTTCTATTGTTTTCCCTCCACCACCACCACCACCACCACCACCACCACCACATTTCTATTGTTTTTCCTTCCACCAGATTCTATAAAAGACCACCAACTGCCATTCTTAGTTCATTTTGTAGCAATGTCTCGTGTAGTGAACAACAATCGTGGTTTTCTTCAGCTGTTAGCTGCTTGCCCTGCTTATCAGCGCCAGTTTCTTTTAAAGACAGCTACACCACAGCAACTTCATGCACTAGTCCAAGTCTTATACAATTTACTCATGGGACACATTCCCATCTCCGAAGAAAATAAGCGGGTATTGCTGCCATATAAGGATGCTTTACTTAACCTGGCCAGTACAAATGTCCCTTTCAAAACAAAGAAGCGAGTCCTTGTTCAAGAGGGTAGTGGTTTTATTGAAGATTTATTAGCCCCTGTCGTTTCAAGCTTAGGATTTCTAATGCTATAAAAGAGGTGACACATCGCTAGGTTGCTCATTCGAAGCTAAGTTTGTCACGAGTACTCATCAAAATGAAAAGAAAGATAGATTTGGTTGAAGAAGAAGAACAAGAGAGTGAACATGAAGAAAGCGAAAGTTCTGGTGATGAAAGCGAGGATGAAGAACCAAGAATAAAAGAAGAACCGAGAATAAAAGATGTTTTGAGTCATCTTTCCCGAGCAGTGCCGGAAAAGCGTGCTTCTGATTTGCTGCATAGTATGGCTGCGTCCAAAGATATTCTTTTCTGGACCCCCAGCGGACAATTACTTCGAAATAAACGCACTATTCCCGTCACAAACATCGCTGAGCTAGTTGAGTATGTGTTACTCCCTTATAACAATGAGGTTACCAAACCTCGTGCGCTGAATACGTTTCTAGATGGACTTGCAGAGTTAGGAATCGATAAAGGTTTAATCAAGAACAAAAAGTTGTTAAGTGATTTAATAGAAAAGGAAAAAGGCTACCAAAATGTAGAAAATACTTCCGATAACGAGAGTAATAATGAGGAGAGTTCATCGCATATTGAAAATCAGGAGGAAGAAGTGGCTTCTGAGAATGACATTGAAGCGGAAGACACCCAAGAGAGCGACAACGACACTGAAAACGACAGTCAGGAGATAGAAAGTAGTAACCCTGAAACGTCCACCACCTTTCACTCCAAAAGTCCCTGTGAACACTGCGAGAACTCTAATGTGTACGGGACGTTGATCATGAAATGTCCTAAATGCCTTTGGCACGATTACTACAAGATTTGTCCTATATGCGATCACCAGATTCCCGAGGGGAGACATTACATGAAAGAGGGCTTTCTTCGATGTCACGATTGCGGAGCAGTTACACACAAAAACGCGAAGACGTTGGAAACCAATTTCTATTCCCCTTCTACAGAGGAGAACGAAGATGAAGATTAATTAATTTCCATTCCTGTGTATTTGACTCTTTTTGTCACTGGTTTTTAATAAAGTTTTTTAAAACGGTATCTCTCTTGTGTTTTTATTGCTAGCAAATATGAGTCGCGTGTTTTAATTGATCCTTGTTAAGTTATTTGTTTTATAATAATACGTCAAGATTCTCTCCCTTGGGTCTTTCCTGTAGAGCTAATTTGTATTCAACTCGTGAACTCGCATAATTAACTGATTAACCGTGCGTGAAAATGACAAGACTTTCATTTCCTCGAGATAGAAAGGAGAAAACGTCAGACAAAATTGAAATAGAGTTTTCAGTTCTAATTTGTGTATTTTGTTTATATATATTCGAGTTTTAGAGCTCAATAAGAAGACATAAACTAAACGGAAATAAAGACTTTTCAACTCCACTTTCTGTATGTGTTTTGTTTATGTATATCTGAGTTTTAGCGCTAAATAAGATATAGGAAGCCGTTTCTCGCGTTGCTAGGTGATCGCTTCTCTTATTCCTATTTTCCTTTTAATAGACTGTCCGAAACCGAGCTCAAGTTACTTCACGGGCAAGTCTAGGCAAGCCTATTGTTCCTATTGTAGTAGAGTGACGCTCATTAGTAAACCTATCCACTTCATTATATATGGAGGAAGACACTTAATTAGTATGGAGGAACCCATTTTTTCCCTAGGTTATAACAATGGGTGACGTCATTGACTAGACCAATATGCCTATTAATTAAGGGAATCCACTTTCTGCGAGGGAATCCAAAGGGAATCCACCAACGGGGGTTAAGTTTGCTGAAGCCCTACTACTAGACTGCAAGCAGTCTCTTATTTTTCTTTGCAAAGTTACTGCAAGAGAAACCAAAGCACGCGAGCGGCGCAGCAGCGAGCCGCGAGCCGCGATAAACGAGGGCGTAAGCGCTGGTCCTAATCCCTCATTGTAACATAACTCCGTGGTTTGCAATCGCGCTAGTTGAGAACTAGACGGATTTTAAGAGAAAAGGCGGACTTCAAGCAGTCTAAGTAAATATGGGGCAAAGATGGTCGCCACATTTGCATACCAAGAACAGGGGATGTAAAGATCTGTAAATAACTGGACAATTAACAGTCTATATATTCGGGACATATGGAGTCTTACATAAGATACTGACCTAGGAAAATGTGGCAATAATACCATCTTTGCTCCAGATTGACTCCTCCGTTTTTACAAATTTGGGACATACACCCTCTATTAAGCGGACATTACGCTGGGTCCCGAAATTAACGTCTTGTATTTCCCTTTATAACGAGCCCCTATTCAGCGGACACCTCTATTAAGCGGACGTGGACACTAAAATAACTTGTGTTTGGCTAATTTCTATTGTGAAAAACCTCTATTAAGCGGACACCGGACTGAATTGGCAATAGTAGTATTGGATTACGACCCTTGAAATACGTACTCTAGTCGATTAATAAAGATAAATCCATAAACTGTAGATTAGACCGATATGCGGCCGTATAATTGTCATCTGCGATCAAAGAAACAACTAATTTGTGACAAACACTGAAAGAGTGCATGTACCGCACGTATTATCGTTGCTGTTTTGCTGTTATGTTACTTTTTGCATTTACAAACAAATTAAAGTTGGTAATGAAAGGTAATGAAATTGAACTCTGGACAGCTTTCTGAACATCATGGAACTTTATCACAGTATAGAGAAACCGATGAATGTTAATAATTGTTAACAAACATTGCGCAATTTTTGCAAACCTGAAGGTATTAATAGAGGTTCCACTGCATTAGCAAGGAGCAAATTTGTGCAAATGCAGTTTTCGTCCAGTGCGGTGCGGTTGTTTCTCTTTGGACCAGTCAGTTCGTCCGCTTAGGATAAAGTTTTGTACAGGGCTATAGCAAATTAATCCCCAAAATGGACCACAAATGATCCTCGACGGTAAATGATCCCAAACTTGGACCGCAAATAATCCCAAACGAAAAGTAGGAATGGGCTGGACTCAAGTTCGCTGCATAGGGTCAATTTCATTGTTATTGCAAAAAGTAGTAAAAGAAAAAAATTTTGGTTCTCAAATAAATACATTAATAAAAAGTAAATGAAAAGTACATTCAAGACTTTATTCATTCAAATAAACGCATTAACCAGAACTAAACTTTAACACACTGATTTTAAAACATTGTTAAATCAAGGAAACAAGAAAATAGCTACGCATCGTAGTGTCTTCTTGAGTTATTATTTAACAATTACGCTTAAAACTTTAACATAGATATAGATAAAAACCTTCTCAAAATCAATCATCGGTTATACTGATTATAAACCTGAGAAAATAATGATTTTTATCAAAGTGAGTGTAACACTATTCCAGTTAAATAACAGTTCCCGTTGTGCATTTTCGTTAACAGGTCAAAGAATTCGCGCGTAAATTTTGTGGGTCTTGAGGTCAATCTCTAAATAAGTTTGTTTAATGGAGACTCTAACCACCAGCTTACCGTAATCTGAATGTTGAATAGATATTCCTGCTTTCCGGGATAACGAACGTTTAGATTCTTGGCAATTGTCTCCAGCAAAGGAAATAGACGGAAACCTGTGCAGATTGATAAATTCTGGGGCATTTTGACGTTTGTTTATTTGAAATCACGTCTTGTTTCGTAAAGGGCTCTCAGGTATACAAATGTCTTGCTGTTAATCACGTAGAATTAGTACTTCTGAGAAAAATCGATGTTAAATATTCTTAGAGTTCAAGTTAAATATTCAGAGAATTAATTCGCTTCCTGTGATTTGGCGTACTCCTTCCCTTTTTCTTTAGAAGACGAGAAGAAAAGGTCCCTTTTTACCCTCGCAAGTTGTAAACAGCTCCATTCTTCATCCAATATCCAACTAAGATCCGTGAATCCATTCCTCTATTTTTCACGGGATGATTTGCGTTCCATGTTGGGGACCATTTACGGTCGAGGATCATTTGCGGTTCGCATGTGGGGATCATTTGCGGTACTGTACAGTTTTAGGTGGCTGCAAGCGTACCGAAGCTAAGGTGTCGGCCCGTGGGAGATGTTAATTTAACAAGATTTGCAATTACAAGCAACAGATTGGGGAAAAAAAACTAGAAATTAATAATTAAGATATGTTCTTTTATAACTTTATGGTGAAAATCTCCATATCTATTTGTTTAATATACCTTTTTTTACCATTTGCCTAAGCTAGAAGCTCCTTTTTCATATATAAACTCAGTAACCTGTAAACTGAAACTGGTGCCTGTCGCAATAATGCTCTTTATTAAATTAATACTTCGTTCGGTTTTAAAGCATGTACTGTATTAAGAAGACAATAAAAGGAAACAGACAATAAAGAGTTTTAGGAGCCTTTATCCTATTGAAAAGGTATATAAAAAATATGTATTACTGTGACCCATTTCAGTCTATTAAGTTCGTTCGAACAAGAAGAGAAGAATACTCTAGGCGAATTTCCGCTCTGGCAAAATTACGAAAGTTCGCTGAAACGAACTTTCTTCTCAGTGTATCACGTACGTGCACATGTCAAAAGAGCGTTACGTTTTTCCTCGCGGACATTTGCTTATTTCACCAAAAACTTGTGATGAAGTACGTTGGTCGCTTCTTTTGCAATGTTGGAATTGAGGGATGGAAGATAGCCGGGTGGCAAGAAAGTCAGAACAATATCGATACTTTATAACCTAAAAATTACTATAATAATAGTATTAGCCTGGAATTTGGGCGCGTTTTGACAGGCTAGAAATGCATCACTTATCATCTGCAGAACCAGAACTTGAGAAGTGGGGTGGGGGGTGACGCTCATTCACACCATGTGAGTATAGGAGGGGCGATCCTCGCCCCTTGAGGAACGAGGCCACTGCTTAACCATGTATGAAAGGTAGAGTTACATGATTCCATATCGCTTAGTACCAAGCTGCACTTTTAGCTGAACATACCAATGCCTTTCTATACGGCAAAGCTGTTAATGCCACTGCCATGGCTTACAATGCTCACTTACCCCATGAAATACTTGTGTATCCTCCGAAAATATATCTCCCGACCCTTATTATTGTCACAGTCGGGCCCTTGCTGTCACATCGTGAGTGAAATGTACTTGCAGCCCAGCCATCCACGGATGCACGCCAACAGCGTTTCCAGAGAGAATTCACGCTTTTTGCCACAGGTGCTAGCCAGTTTCTTAACAAGGTTAAGTGATTTCTGTTGTTTCCCACAATGACTGAGCTTTCAAAACCTAAGTATTAAAAGTCAACGTCCATAAAATGACAATTGAAAACAATTATTTTATGGACAGGTAAAAAGTTTTTAGAATGTTAGTTAGAAAAAGAGAGAAAGAAAATGTTATTGAGAAAAAGAGTAACATTGCAAGTGACTAAAGATGTCATGTATGCATGCATGTACGTGATTTGCACGCTATTAAGGAAGTTTAAGCATTTAAGATCATTGAAACTCTAGTAAACACGCATAATTGTCTTAAGTTGCAAATTTCTGTAAGCGCAACATACACTCGCAATGATAGTAGCTCTCGTCTTGCTTTAGCAGTGATTAGACGGTTTTCGAATGCCTGAAAAATAAACAAACAAACAAAGAAAAAACAAAAACAAAAATTGAAATAAAGCGGTCTTCAAATAGATCACCTTGCGATATATTTCGGTATAGCCGTATAGTTCTCGTTGTGGCAAAGTTAGACTTTCGAAAAACTATCTTTCAAAATGTTTTAACACTCTTATTTAACTAAGATCGCAAGCTGGTTATTAAAGTTTAAAAAGTTCACATCAACTGGATTATTGTCATTTGCAGGGCTGAATTAGCTAAACGGGTAACGTTGCAAGTGACTAAAGAAAGAGTGCCGATTCATGTATTTGATTTGCTAATAAGAAATTTTAAGCATGAAACTCCAGTTAACACACAAGTCTTCAAATGCAAATTTATGTCAGCATGCACCTTATACACAATGACTATATATATAGCTCTCATTGCTTTTTTTGTGATATTAGATGTTTAAAAAAAAGCCAGTCATGAGTGGGATTCGAACTGATCACCATGCGATACAGCGGTATAGTTCTTACGTATCTATGCTTCCGAAAAAGTGTCCATCGTCCTTTGATGAGTAAAGAATAAGATGATGATGATGGTGATCGTGATGATGATGATGATGATGATGATGATAAACTTTAATTATTTATACGTGGTTAAAATATTCGTATAATAATAGCAAATGAATAAGTTCTATAAACTGTTTTACATGATTGCCGTGTGGGTGAATGATCAGCAAACCAAGAGTGAATTTTCCCTCAAAGTCATCTGATCTAAAGAATTTGCTGTGCGTACGTACATCCTCGGGAAGATTGTTCCATAAGTAAGCACCACGGTAGCACAAGCCACCTCAGACCGCTTTACAGTATTCAAAGCGTGGTTCAATAAGACCTTTGTATATCATAACTTCAGTGTGCATAGAAACAAATGGCTCGACTCGCTTAAGCGCACCAATGTTTGAGGAGGCTTTTTTGAAATGTCATGTTGGTGGACCTTAAAAGAGAGATTATCGTCCGTAAGCCCAATAAATTTGCTATGAGTTGTTTCGTTTAGTTGGACGCCATCGTTATACATTTTTATTGTGTAGTCATTTAAAGATTGTAATTTCTGCCCCGAGCTAATAATCATAGACTCTGGTTTGGCGACATTGAGATTTAAATTGTTGGCTTTAAGCCAGAGATCAATATGCTTCAATTCAGTATTGATCTGTAATTCGAGACCAGGTATGCTAGGTGCAGAAAATGTAACGTTAGTGTCACCCGCGTACATTCTAGGAGAACCAGTATTCAAACAGTTTGGAAGATCATTATGTGGATCAAAAAGAGAAGGGGGCCTATTATTGACTTTTAAGGTACAGTTAAGAGGACTCTAACTAGATAGACAATTACCTATGATACATCTTTGCAATGCATCTTAGATGTTTAACAAAGGTCGCAATGGTTTATGGATTAGACGACTGGCATTAAACTGAATGTTTAATCTATTCATACCTTGTTCAAGGGGATTGCTTTGGGCATTGGGCAATTACCCTCTCGGGAAGTAATATTATTATTTGGCAGTCACTTAAGCAGGTCATTGCAGTGAGTTTTGTATGCCCAAGTGGTCAGTGCCAATTGCGCCAATGACCAACTCTCAAAGCAGCCTTTCAGTGATTTAGATATATGTGGTGCCTGCAATACAAACCTAAGCGACGCACTTGCACTGCCACGTTGATTCTTGTCTTCTTTGTTCCCATAATATTAGAAGCCACGCATTCATAAAAACCGCTGTCATCAGGACTCAAGTTGTTAATGGTAAATGTGCCTTGGTTTATACTGGTCCTTCCAGCATGTAAAGGCATTGCTGCTCTAGTCCAGTTTATTTCGGGGCGAGGATATCCTTCAGCTTGACAAGTTACTTGAAACGTAGAACCTTGCACTGGTGTGGCAAGTGAGGGTGGAACTTTTGTGAAGATTGGAAGACCTGAAATAGAGCCGAAAAATAAACAGGACGCACAATAAATTAAAGAGCATATATTCCTTTCTTTTCTGGGAACCCTTTCAAGCTCCATGCCCTTAAATCCACATTTCGCTAAAAGTGTTATTGATAAACTTTGTTATAAGCAACGTTTGATTACATAGCCGAAAAGGGAGCAAAAGAAACGTATTAATTCAAAAAGATAGGTGAGGTCTGTACCACTTGTGTAGGATATTGAAGGTTAAGACTAATTAAAGCAAACACCTTGAAACAAACTCAGAATTCATCATGTAGGAAGGTCATGCATTGAAGTAGTTCAATTAACGATCAAGAAAAAGACAAATTGGAAGGAATGGAACAGTGATGGAAGGATCGTGTTGTGTGCCTTCGCGTACATGGTGAAGATTGTCATCTGTTATAATTATCTTAAACATAATTGCTTAAAATATCTGTACGTTTGCACGGCTCAGGTTAAGCGTTGAACTTCAACTAACACGTGACTAGTGGCTCTAAGAAATACGAAAAATGGATGAGTTAAAATGAAGGAAGAGATAAAGTACACGATTAAACAGCAGAGCACAAAGAGACCTACATAATCAAGCAGCCAGATATAACAAAAGTACAGTGTTCCGCTTACCTCTAACAGTCAAGTTACTAATGGCCTCGGACGATCCGAGAATGTTTCTGGCAGCACATGTGTACGGTCTAGCATCGCCGTAATTCAAATTTCTGACGATCAACTCTCCTTCTTTAATCAAGTACTTTGCACCTAAGAGAAGTTTTCTGCCCATAAATTGCCATTCCACGACTGGGGAAGGACTTCCTGCGACCGTGCAATAAAATGCCGTGTCTCCTCCCTCATCTCGTGTCTGCTCTGCTGGCGACAACATCACTTGTGGAGCAGATATCGATTTTCCAGGCCTTCCAGGTGGCCCCGGCATGCCTATTGACCCAGGGTCTCCTTTGTCTCCCTTTTCTCCTCTCGGTCCTACAGGACCAGTTAGTCCAGTTTTTCCCGATTTTCCAGGAGGTCCCATTGGACCTTGAGGACCTTTCTTTCTCTTGGGTCCCCTCCTGCCACGTGGTCCCCTCGCTCCAATGGGACCAGGATATCCGGGGGGACCTGCAGGACAGACCTTCTCACTTGACTTACAGCATTTGGTGGGCATAAGTTGTTCAAACTGTTTTCTGATTTCTTTTCTTACTTCATGTATGGTGATGCTAGTTGAAGTGTAGTTCAAAACGTTTCTTCGCTTTCTTACCCGGATGGTTGCTGATGCCTTTATTGGCAACAGGCTGGCTGCAGTAAAGTAAAATTAGATAATACCTGTTAATTACCCATTGATAAATTGTAAAAATGAGCAAGATCGAGAGGGAACGAAAGAATGATACGGCTGACATTTCTGATAAAGCTAACTTACAAAAGAAGAAGAATCGAATCTTAAGACCTGCGCACGAATTTCAAGCCAACTAAGATCTTGAATCAGCACCAGTCCTACTTCAATAGCTCTTAATGTAATCCCATAAGGGTTAAGAACGGTTTTTCAAGTTAGACTGAACTCCTTTGAAAAAAACGGAATATCTCCCTGAATGAATAATCTTTTAATACACGCCTTTTGTCTGTACTGATCTATAATGTTTATACTATTCGAAAATTTTTCCAGAAAGTGCGAAACGAAAATAGCTCAATCTAAAGCAAACAGATAAATCTAAAAATAAATTGCCAAGAATTGGGTCATTATTGTTTGAAATTAGTCATGCAATACGTTTCAATTCCGAGACCCCAAATAACCTCGAACCAGAAGCACATGCAGGCCCCACTTAAAGAAATGTTTAAGGAACCTCATCTAATGTCGTCTTGCTAAAAATCTTAAAAAGACAATCTTGTTGAAAAGCTGTATAGTAATGACATCGACTATCTGGTGCGTGAAGAAATCTTGTTCTGCCCTTGTAGACACATCATTTATAAATTCAGCTTCATTTACGCTGTAGATCTCTTCGGTTTTTTTTATCAGTGGCAGTGGCATAATTACTGACATCTAGGGAGCATTATAAAACAGTTTCATACAGTCTAAGTTAAAATCTGATACTATTTTGAAATTGCAAACGATCCCGTGTTGTTAACGAGAACTCACGTAATGAAAGGTTATGTCTTAACCGAGGGAGGATATAAACGCAGGTCTTAAACATCCTCAATGTACACAAGGCCATCCAAGTAAGAAGAGTAAGAATAAATTTTACCTGAGGTATAGCAGTTCCCATCGTCTGAAACTTGTGTCTGCATCTTCTTGGAAAGGTCCATTGCGATATCTTTTGTCGCTGAGAAAGTCATCCTGTCAAGATTATCAATAGTGCCACGCTTGGTGCAAGGAACACAGTAAACACGAGATTCCAGTGAAATCAGTCGTTCGTTTGTTGCTTCATTTTTCACCCAGAGACAACCGCAAACTAAAACTAATACCAACGAAAGGAACGATGGTCTAATTGACGGAACAAACTCAAGGACTCGTTGAGATTTTGAAGAGTTTACGGTTTTCATTTTTGTAGTTTTACGATCGTTTTCTTTCACAGCCACTCGAAGACGGAAGTTCGAGGGAAAGTTTCAAGTTAAACCTGATCCGCTTCTGATTAAGCCCAGAAAAACAAGAGTGTTAGCTTACATTAGATACGTGACGTAAGCCGGGCTATTTTGCCGATGGTATCTTTTCTCTTGTTGCTCTCAAACGTGGTCAAAGTTCCAACGATTTCCGTATTCTAAAATACCGTAAAATTCCGAAAATAAGCCCCGGGGCTTATGCTTTTCAAAGGCCCTTTTTGAGGGGCTTATTTTGGAGGGGCTTATATTCGGAGGGGCTTATGTACGGAGGAAATTTGCGTTTCAAAACTGATTGGGCTAGCCTTATAGTTGGAAGTAAATTTACCGTTTCTCTTTGTTTTACTTTGTATTTGAGGGCAATTTCTAAGTACAAGCCCCCGGGGGGGCTTATATTTGGAGGGGCGATTTAACGGAGGGTTTTTTGCATTACGAGTTTGGGGGGCTTATATTTGGAGGGGCTTAAACATGGAGGGGCTTATTTTCGGAATTTTACGGTGGGCTTATTTTCGGAATTTTACGGTATCAGAAATCAAACATCACGCAAGAGGTTGACCACGTGACCGTTGCCTTTATTCTTCATTCTTGATAACGTGGAGAGAATCAAGTTTCTCTTTTTGTAACAAACATTCGAGCATGAGTGGTTTATTTAATTCATTTCTCGTTTTCTGTCACAGTTACTCGAAGTTTGAGGGAAAGTTGGAAGACAGTTAAACCTGATCCCTTCTCACTAAGCCCATAAAAACAAGTGTAGTAAATTAGCTTACATTAGATTGACGTGAGCCGGGCTGCTCTGCCGGTTGTTAACCTTCCTCCTGTTGCACTCAGACGTGGTCAAAGTTCCAACAGATACCATATTTTAAATTATTGCTGAAATCAAACATCACGTTTACAGGAAAGGAAACAAGTTTGACCACGTGACCATTAACCCTCATTATTGACAACGTTGAGAGAATGAAGCTCTCTTTTTATGACAAACATGAGTAATTTTATTGAATTTTAATTCTTGTCTGGACATTAACAGTTAATACTAGCCCGTAAATGTGATCTTTTATTTATGCACCTATCAATGTAATGCCGGCGGGGGGGGGAGGCAGGGCATAGGGTGGGGATTTGACTTTTTTAAAAAATTTGCAATCAAATTCCCTGCCCACGGGCAAATCATTCCAGTCAAATGCAACCAAATGTCCCCACCCCAGGCTGCACATTGCTGTCAATCCCAAGGCAGAACCTAAGAAAGGCACAATAAAAACATCTCCAAATAAAACTCTGGAATCTTTTATAAACGTTGCTACATCACCAAAGATACATGTCCCTGTTACAGCTGCAATTATACGTTCTAACCATAATCCGTGTTACACTGCGTAGAATACACATTTTGTAAGTCTGAATATACCGTTCTTAGTAAAGGGTACAAAGAAAGTCAGTTTTATAAGTTTACAGTGATTGTAGCGAATGAGCCATACACTAATCAATTGTACTTGCAAAAATCGACTTGGTTTCTCTTTACTTCCGTTACTTTGATACCACAGTATATTAAGAGGTTCAATTCATCAAAAACACGCTAAAACAAACGAAATTTGAAGACAAAACAGTGAAATCCACTCAGCCTTCGCTTGTTTTCATTGGCCGCCATGACTTCCTAATCCTTTCAAACCGTATGGCGCATGCGTAAAGCGTGGAAGCGGGAAACATATGTTCGGTCTCAGTCTTTTTCGTCCGAGTCGGCAGTCAAATATCTCCACGTCGGGCGAAGAGAGATTCAAATATCCCTTCCCCCGGGAGAACAAGATCAGTCAAATGCCCTACCCCAGGGACAACAAAGACAATCAAATCCCCACCCCATGCCCTGCCTCCCCCCCCGCCGGCGTTACATTGATAGGTGCATTATTTATTATCAGTAGAAATTTACTATAGTGGTATATTTTATTTAACAATATTTTATAAAATAGGTCTGTCATAAAGGATACTGATGTACCTCAGATTTTATACGTAGGGCTTACATGAGGTAGCAACCCAACGCTGGTAGTTTTAATTACTACACTGCTGGAAGGTGATCGGGATTGTCACGTGACTGCAAGCAGTCTTTTCCTGTATATGAGATAGTGTTGCCGCATTAAGCAATTAGTAATCTTAACTTTTGATTACTAATATTAGTGGTATCGCATTGGGCAACAAAGCAGTGAGGACAGCCTGGTTCAGTCAAATATCACTGTACTGTTTTTTTTGTTTTGTTTTTTTTTTCAACTTTGTTCACTCGGAAACAGAGACTTCTTTGCCTTCATGATAAGGAAGTAACTATTATAACATAGCGCGCGCGCTTGCCCTATATAAGTCCTATTGAGCCGCTATGAACAAAATCTTTATTTACGCACGCCCGTGCGTAAATAAGATGACGTGAGCATATTTTTTTTACCTGGCTGCAAAGTTGTCGTCTTTTAAGCTGTAGTGCACTTTTCCTTCTCTTTAAAATATGGAAGAAACCAGCGAAGAACTGCCCAATTTTTCTATCGGCATTGACCTTTTAGGTCCTGATCCAACAAGCAGCAAAAATAAAGCCGAATTAAAAAAAGACTCGCAAGTTGCGCGCCGTTCGCAAATTTGTCGAAGACCAGCTGCAGCAAATTTTGGCCGAAAGACATTCACTGGGAACAGAACAGACACCAACTGGTCATCAACAACATTTAAAGGCAAAATTTCCGTTTTTATTGTTGTTTTTAAATTTGTTATGCACTTTTGTTATCTCCGGACAATTCGACTGAAGCAGGAAAATTTCTATCGCAATAACAACACAAATTACACAAGAAGACATAAATTTATTACTCACAAAAACAACTGCTGCCAGGTCTCCTCAAGAAGCCGTAATGACCAGCCAATGTTCGTAAATGAATATAAGTTTAAAGAAGGATGACAGTCGTCTTCGCTAAAAACATGTTTTCTGGATTTCGCCGAGCAAAACGTAAACATCTTTTCAGCAAATCCAAACCATACTCCACGACCTCTTATGAACATGTTAGTTTTAACTTTAGGTGAACTTTAAGACTCTTTTACCTTTGTTTCTGCTTAGTTTCCATTGATCGTTAACGAATAAAGAAGCAAATTTTCTTTCTCACTTTTACAGAAAGAATATTTTCATTCAAACTAGACGATTGTGGCGTGTTCGTAATCAGCCAATAGAACCGTTTGTTATTGTGTCACGCGTTAAGAGAATTTTGCAGTTAATCAAAAAGCAAGCATTTTTGTGAGCTATGTTATAAAAGAATTTGCTCATGCTTTTAGCTGTGCGTATATCGAGTTATGGATGCACTTGGGAAGTTTGGAGAGCACTCAAGAAGCTAGAGTTGCACTCGGCTATCGCCTCGTGCAACTCTTACGCATCTTTCGTGCTCTCCAAACTTCCCGCGTGCATCCATAACTCGATATACGCACGCTAAGCATGAACAAATTCTTAATTTTCTGACAGATGACAGCATAGCTGCCCCCAGACTCGTATCCAGGTGAAAAAAGATCAGCGCAGTAGGACCAGTTGTAGATATCAAAATCATTTCTCTTTTTGACAATTCTATTTTTGGTTTGTTTGTAAAATGTTGTAGTATACGTTCTAATGATTGTGTTCTGATTTAGATTTAAGGGGCTTGCTTAGTGCTGTAGATTCGTTCACCTCTAAGTGTCTACTTGTACAATCAGCTCAGCTCAAATATCAAAGCCGGTGTCACGCATTATATTAATTAGGTTGTTTCGTAAAAGGTTTCAACTTCGTCTGCTGTGAACTTGTAAGTTCCTGCCAGGAATGTTCGTGCGAAGGTGCTGGTGTAGCTGTATCCGCGCGGTGGGCTGTAAGTCCAGCCAAGGTTGCTGTAAGAATTGCTATTAGATGACGCGTAGTTTTTGATGTTAATGTCATGTCCTCCTCCGAATGTAGGCCCATAGGATGAGTAAAAGTATATGGAATCTTTGCTAGAACTAGATTGCCCTGACTGAGACAATTTGACAGGCGCCCATCCTGGCTTGTTTACCAGCGAAAATAAGAAGGATTTTGAGTCGTATTGATACCGGCCAGAACCAGAAGCTAAAAGAAATGAAACGAAACTTTTCTAAGATAAGTTAGCGACATTGTCTTTGTGCCTGTCATAATGATGACGATGATTATTATTATTATTAATTAAAAACAGTCAATACCTTATTCTCATAAAACAAATTCGATCGAGTTTCTCAGTAACGTTCGTCATTTATCAAAAACGAAATCAGTTTCTATGTCTTCTTTATTATTATCATTATCATTATCAATATTATTATTATAATTATTGTTATATTACTGTTATTATTATCATCATCATCATTATTATCAGTATGAATATTTTTTATTGCATTATTATTTACGAGCAGGTATTTTGGTAAAAGATACAGTTATACTCATGGCAAAAGTGGTTCGTCCGCTCAGGAGAGAGTTTTATGTGGCTGCAAGCTCACCGAAGCTGAGGTGTCGGCCTCTGGGAGATGTTAATTTTAAAAGATTTGCAATTGCAAGCAATAGATCGGGAAAAAAATTAGTAATTAATAAGATATGTTCTTTTATAACTTTACGGAGAAAATCTCCAAATTTATCCGTTTTTGTAGTTTTTACCACTTGCCGAAGCTAGAAGCGTCTTTTTTGCATGAACTGGTGCATGTCGCAATACACTTTTATTGGTAAATTAAGACTTCCTTTGATTTTAAGGGTGCTGTATTAAGAACACAATGAAGGAAACAGATAATAGGAGTTTTAGGAGACTTTATCCTTGAAAAGGTATAAAACATTATGTATTTCAGTCACCGATTTCAGTCTATCAAGTTCGTTCGAAGAAGAATCCTCTTCGTGACATTTCGCTCAGGCAAAATTACGAAAGTTTGATCGGTGAAATGAACCTTCGTCTTGGTGTATCACGTACGTGGACATGTCAAAAGAGAATGTTTTTTCTTTGCCAAAATTTGCGAATTTCACCAAAAACCTGTGGCGAAGTTCGTTAGTCGCTACTTTTGCAATATGGGAACTGAGGGATGGAAGATAGCAGGGTAGCAAGAAAGTCCGAACAATATCGATATTTTACAACCTCAAATTATTATAATAGTAGTAGCCTGGAATTTAAACACGTTTTGACAGGCTAGAAATGCATCACTTATCATCTGCAAAACCAGAACTTGAGAAGAAGGGTGGGGGATGGCGCTCATCTACACCATGTGATTGTAGGAGGGGCGGTCCTCAATTAGAACCTCAAAATTATTATAATTCGATAGTGTTGGCCTGGAATTTGGGCACGTTTTGACAAGCTAGAAATGCATCACTTACCATCTGCAGAACCAGAACTCTAGAAAAGGGGTGGGGCGTTTATTCACACCATGTGAGTGTAGGAGGGGCGGCCCTCGCCCCTTGAGGAACGAGGGGATATGGGCCCACATCTAGAGCTATTAACCTAGAACCTTTGTCCGCCACTGCGTAACCATGTATGAAAGGTACAGTCACATGATTCCATATTGCTAAGTACCAAGCTGCACTTTTAGCTGAACATATCAATGCCAATTACGCCAAAGGTATAAATGTCACCGCCATGGCTTATGATGAATGCTCACTTACCCCATGAAATACTTGTGTATCCCCCAAAAATATATCTCCCGACCCTTATTATTGTCACAGTCGGGCCCTTGCTGTCACATCGGGAGTGAAATGTACTTGCAGCCCAGCCGTCCACGGATGCACGCCAACAGCGCTTCCAGAGAGAATTCACGCTTCGTGCTACAGGGGCTAGCCAACTCCTTAAGCTTCTCAAATGATTTTTGCTCTTTCCTACGATAACGGAGTTTTCTAAATCTGAAAAAGAACAATCGACACTAAATGGTGTAATGAGAATTCCATATCTTGGAGACTGGCCAGAATCGGACTTTTTTGGAACTTGTAGCATCGAATTCTGTCATTGTTGAGTTATTGACATACAAAATCAGTATTAATATACACGAAGTGCAGTATTTTTGGCAAAGTTATCCCTAACGGATATCTAGAAAAGACCATTAACGGTCACCCTCGAGGCAAAATGACCACTTAATATAATACAGGTTTGACAACTCGATCACGAAAATCAAAAAGAGGAAGATGGTGACTAAGCAAAATATCCAGTATACATACATACATACACACATACATACGTTTTATTGAGTCTCCCTTTACAGGGCTTTTCAGACACAATGAACTAATTACATAAAATTTACAGAAATAAAATCTAAAATCTAAGAAGCTAAAACTAGAGTGTTCATTAAATATGCTATTGAACAATAAATTAGATATTAAAATAGGTATCTGATGCACCGTTACAACGACAGTGACCGTTACGTTTAACAGATCAGAGGTGAAGCCATTCGCTGCCAAACTCGTCGTAGCCTTTGAAAAGGTGACCTGACGACTGCTTAATAGACCAAGCAGGGCCATAGCTAGGTTTTTTGTAATGGGGGCATTTTCGCGAGTGCAGAAGCCACGAGCCTTGTAGGGAGGTCTGGGGGTATCCTCCCGCAGGAAATTTTCAAATTTGTAGGCTCCGAAACGTTATTTTCAGCAATTGTCATGAGATATGTCTCCGAAAAATCGACCTCGAATGTGAAAATGGCAAACAATTGCAAGTCACTATAATCAAAATAACTGAGTCTAAAGAAAACAAATCCATCCAAAGACTTGATGTTTATAGCTCAACAGGTCGGGGGGAGCAACTGCTCCCCCCCAGCTAGCTACGGCTCTGGACCAAGGTGACGGCTTATTCAGTTTAGATTTAAAGTAATTGATGAAAATGATCTCGGAGACTTTGGTATAAGTGACCGCTTATTAGTTATAGTCAGGTTCCCTTACAGGTTTGACTGTATGATATCAGTCTTTCCAATAGCTGCAAGAAACTCAAGTGATGAGGACAAAACTGATGTCATTATTTAAACTGTTTATAAAAACAAGATAAGTTATTTCCACCTCTTAAATCTAACTAGAACTAGAAAGTTTGGGCAAACGAAAATGACCATTTGCTGACATTGGTGTTTGCCACCACCCTACGCCAAATAAATAGAGCAAACCTGGTTTTCGTTGTACGGCCACATTGATCCTGGCCTTCTTTGTTCCCATAATGTTAGTAGCAACACAGTCGTACAAACTGCTGTCAGCAGGACTTAACTTCTTAATAGTTAGTGTTCCTTGGTTTACTTCAGTCCTTCCAGCTGGCAAAGACATTCCCACTCTACTCCAGTTTATCACGGGACGAGGAAAACCTTCAGCTTGGCAAACTACCTGAAAGGTAGTACGCTGTACTGGCGTGGCAAGCGGAGGTGGCACTTTTGTGAATACTGGAAGTCCTAGGGAAAAAAATAAAACCTTACAATGAAAACAAGTACAAACCGTATAACAAAGAATAGAAACTACTGAAAACTATTAGAAAGCTTCTTAACGATGTAAAGTTTTAGACGTTTTACCCTATATTAAGTCAGAAGCATGCTTCCGGTCTAGTTTAACGGTGAAACCAGAAATGCACAAAAGGATGAATAACGCAAAACGAAATCAATTAACTAGTGGAAAACCCTTAAACAAGAGAAGGATGAAATCCCAGCCGTTTGTGAGCGTACAAAACGGAGACACGCATAAAAATGATCAATCAGCAGCTGGGTGTGTAAATCTCGGAAGTTTCAATTATGTTCTTACCTCGAACAGTCAAGTTACCAGTGGCCTCGGACAATCCAAGAATGTTCCTGGCAGAACATGTGTACGTCCCAGCATCGCTATAATTTAGATTTCTCACGATCAGCTCTCCTTCTTTAATCAAATACTTTGCACCCGACAGAAGCTTTCTGCCCTTAAATTGCCATTCCACGATTGGGGAAGGATTTCCGGCGACCGTGCAATATAATGCTGTATTTCCTCCCTCATCTCGTGTCTGCTCTGCCGGCGACAACATCACTTGTGGAGCAGATATCGATTTTCCAGGCCTTCCAGGTGGTCCCGGCATGCCTTTTGGCCCAGGCTCGCCATTGCTTCCCTTTTCTCCTCTCGGTCCTGCAGGACCCGTTATTCCTATTTTTCCGGATTTTCCAGGAGGTCCCATGGGACCTTGAGGACCTTTCTTTCCTTTTGGTCCCCTCCTGCCACGTGGTCCTCTCGCTCCAGTTTGACCAGGATATCCGGGGGAACCTGCAGGACATACTTTCTCACTTGACTTACAGTACTTGGTGGGCATAAGTTGTTCAAACTGTTTGCTGATTTCTTGTCTCACTTCATGTATGGTGACAGTTGAAGTGTCGTTCAAAACGTTTCTTCGCTTTCTTAACCGCATTGTTGCTGATGCCTCTTTTGATAACGGACTGACTGCAGTAAGGTAAGATTAAGAAATTTTTTAATATCCAGTGATTAACATATAAATAAATAAGGGGAAAAATATAACGAAAAAATCAACGGAATGAATGATAAGGTTGACATTTCTCACATAAAATTAAACGTTTTAGAGGTTGCGTTCAACAACAAGGTTAACAACTTTTTAATTTGTCCCCACACCTCTTCTTTGCTGCTTCCTTAGGGAAAGCCAAGCTGACATTCCAGATTTCTAGATCAACGCACACATTTCTAACCAACTGAGACCGTTTAATAAACGTTGAAATAATTTTCCCGCTGGCACCGGTCAAGTTGTCCAGTCAAACCTAATTTTGCTCGGACACAACCCGTTCTTAACCGGACAAATGTCTTTCATCTATAGGATTATCTGATCGCACTTTACAGTAAAATACATGCGGACTATTATAAAAACACTTTAATTTACAACACTACACAACCTACTCCTGAATTTGCGGTGACGATTTAAGTTTTTAACTCGCGGAAAATAAAAACCCACCGTTACCTCCGCGCCGCGCAGGGCATCTGAGATTTCGCGCGGTCCCAGAGCCGCGAAATTCGGGTAAATCCGCGAAATCTCTCGAAATTCAGTAGAAATCTTACTAAATACATGTCAATTCAACGTATTTGAGACTTATCTCGGTTAATGGGGCTGTTTTCGCCAAATACTTGCAAATTTATCTTGAGACTTCGTCACTGCAACGAGAAAACGTCCCAAACGTACCAGGTGTTGTTAGATTATTATTGCCATAGTAAGTAAGTAAGTAAAGCCTTTATTTAAAGAGGGTAGCACCTAATAGCCAAAGGCTAATAAACTTGTGGCCCTCATAAAATACACAACTATTTACAATCTAATAAATATTGTAAGCTAAAATATATAAACATTTAAAATAAAACAAGATTCGATTTTTATATATATAAAAAATATATATATTTATTATATATGTACTGAGATTTACTGCAAAATGAATATGTCAAATAAAAATGCAGAGTACACGCAATCTGATTGGTTGTACGATTTTTCTCACTAGTGAAAAATACCGTATGACCAATCACAACCCGCAGACGAAAGTTTTCACTAGTGACAAAAATCGTATCGATTTTCCCGCCTTTCACTGACGGCGTCACTAGGCAAAAGGAAAACCATGGCGTCTTCTTCGAGCAATTCAACGTTTGCAGATATAACTTCAGTAGAGGAATTTATTGAAGGACAAGAAAACGAAAACACCAGGAAGAAAACTGAACAGAATGTTGCTTTGCTTAAGGAGTTTTTGAGGCTAAAAGATGAGTCAAGGCCTGTAGAAGAAATTCCCCCACACGAACTGAGTTCATTCATCAGCGAATTTATCATAACAGTAAGAAAGAAAGAAAACAACGAAGATTACGAACCCACTTCCTTGCGTGCTATGATGGCCAGTTTTGAACGGTATTTAAAGAAGAAGAATTACGGCTACAGCATTATGAGAGACGTCGAGTTTGAAAAAGCACGAACGGCATTAAAATCAAAACAAAGAGATCTCAAGAAGAAAGGCAAAGGCGATAAACCAAACGCTTCAGTTCCCCTCACAGAAGACGACATAAAACTGCTGTATGACAAAGGATTGTTAGGAAAGTCAACTCCTGAGGCTCTACTGAATACAGTTTGGTTCAACAACACAGTCTATTTCGGTCTCCGTGGTTGTAAGGAACACAGAGACATGTGTTGGGGCGATGTGCAACTACGCCAAACTACAAATGGCGAGGAATTTTGAGAGTATACTGAGAGACAAACTAAGACTCGAACCGGAGAAAATCCCAGAGATGTCAGGAAAATAAAACCGAAAATGTTTTCGGTTCAGGGAAGTGAAAGAGATCCCGTCACTGTTTACAAATTCTACGCGGAGAAAAGACCGT